CCTGACTTCGTTTCCTGTTGGTGTGGCCTTTGGTTTGATTTTCGTTCTATGACACATCCGGTCTGTTTGACGCTACCCTGCGTTAACTGTTTCTTTAGAAATCTTGGTAGGAGGTCTATTGGAACATTTGGGCGGTTTAGGGCCTTGGCTTCTTTTTTTTTCCTTAGTGAGTTTCTATTGTGGTTTGTACATTTTTCATTGGTTTAGTTTCTCCGTTTTTGGGGCTTAGCCTCCATCTTTTGGGCATTTATTCCGGGGATATTTAGTTTTTCCGCCGGCTATTGTATTAAAAACATGTATCTTTACTTTCCTTGTTGTTATTAGTCATATCGAATGACAAAAAAAAAAAAAATTACACTTGAGAAAAAAAGAAAAACAAAGAGAGGTATTGACGTATGATCGTTATAATCTGTAATAATATTAAAATCATTGTTGTGTGCTATTGGACATACAAGCGATGACCGATCTAAATAGGGAAAGTCGGATGACGTAAGCAAATCCTAATAGATTTTATTTTTCGACCTATTACAAGTTAATACTAAACTAGATATTTGTATTGTCCCATGCGCTGTAATAAACATTTTTTTTTTGAGTTTTTGTTTTGACATCATCTGTTTTAATAAAGAAGCTAGATTAATAAAATTATATCAACATGTATAATTACTGAAAAAAGTAAAAATAATATCAACATGGATATTTTAACTAAAGATCAAAAAGTAAAGTTTACAGTTAATTCTTCCTTTACTAATTAAATACAAGATTTTTTTTTTTTGCTAATTCAAGATATTTAACTACTAAAAATAAGATATTTATTTTTACGTATCTTATTTTTACTATCAAATATAAAAATATTCTACATAACAATATTTAGTAATGTGTTCATAATAATACCACCTAGTTAAACTCGAAATATTGTTAGATCACCTCCAAGAGGTTAAGAGTATTTCACTAATATTTAAATGTAAATTTTCTATTTAATTAAATTATAAGTAACAAATAAATAGTTGAACCAGTTATATTAAGACAAATGGCAAGTGAGGTTCTAAACAAAAGCTCTGAGTTTCTTAAAATTTTTAATGTTTTAATGTTTTTTCTTTGTTTTAATGTTTAATTCAATTTTAAAAATTTAAGTAAATTATAAATGTAAAAGACTCCATAAATTCTATTATCCAAAATTAAAAAGAGTCATGTTTCAATACTAAAAATTGAGCTTATGAATGCATGGATTTATAGTTGTACTTGTTATATACAGAAATTTATATATAAATTATTCCAACTTTTTTTTAGAAAAAATTGAACGTAGGCAAAGATTTATTTTCTTTTATGTAGGAACGGACATGATGCTATATATATAAAAAAACAGAATAATAAAAAGGTATTATCTCAAGAGCGTTGAACCATTGCATTTGTATATACATGAAGGATTCATGCTTGCAAAAAAGATCCTCACGGAACAAAATTCATTGAGATTTGGAATACAAATATATTAATTTTCAGTGAGAAGAGAATAATATCGTAACAGTTAATTAGCATCTCTATAGTATCTAAAAAAGAAAGAATTCTTCCATCCTCCAACTTTTTCTTTTGTTAATCTATTGCTAATCCTTATATTTTTTCTAATCACCATGCTTGTAAATTAGCAAATCATAACATCAGGGGGAATGAACTTAACTAAAATAATATTCTATTTCTCATGTGAATCTCTCTTTTATCTATTACGGTCCACTTGCCGACCCCACTTCCCCATGCAGCCCACAACATATTCATATCACCTTTTTTCGTCGTGAATATAATAACTTAACAGTAAAATTATTCCTTTTAAATATTTTCCATGTTTTAAATCATCTAACTAAAAGTTGACAACAACAAATTTATCTAACAAAGTTTCGTGATAATTGGTATGTCAAATAGTCAAAGGAATGGTATAATAGAGCAATCATAAAATCACAAAAAGAAAAAAAAAAACTTAAAATCAAACAAGTTTTGCTGATTAATAACCATAAAATATAAAATAAATTTAGATTCATTTTTTGAGAATATTTTTAGTTATATATTTAATATATGCATCATACATATTATAATCATTTTCTTAAACGTTAAATCATGTTTTTGTATACAATGAAGGATTGAGTTATTTTATTTTCTATATAATTGATACAGAACCCCTAATATGGAACCGCATAGTCTGTTTGTTCAGGAAGACATTAAAGCCATTCTCAACTTTGAGTGCTCCTATGTTCAGAGAGTTAGTCTTGATGCTATGTTCACCAAGGAGGAGATAAAGGATGCTTTTTTCTCACTTCCTAGGAATAAGTGTTCTGGGCCTGATGGGTATTCGGCGGAGTTCTTCATCAGTTGATGGAGCGTTGTGGGTGTCGAGGTCACTGCTGCTGTTTCTGAATTCTTCTCCTCAGGAAAGCTGCTCAAACAGTGGAACGCAACTTGCCTAGTGCTTATTCCCAAAATTTAGAATGCATCCAAGGTTTCTCATTTCAGACCAATCTCATGCCTAAACACCATCTACAAGGTTATATCTAAGCTCTTGGCTTTTAGGCTGAAATCAATCTTACCTTCGGTAGTCTCCCATTCACAGTCAGCTTTCATGCCTGGTAGACTTCTGTCCGAAAATGTGCTACTGGCTTCAGAAATTGTTCAAGGCTATAATAGGAGGAACATTGAACCAAGAGCAATGCTAAAAATTGACCTCAGGAAAGCTTTTGACACAGTTAGATGGGATTTCATTTTATCTACTCTGTCAGCTTTGGGTATTCCAGAAAAGTTTATCGGGTGGATTAGAGAATGTGTTTGCACCCCATCCTTCTCCATTTCAGTAAACGGTTCGTCAGATGGGTTTTTCAAGAGCACAAAGGGGTTGAGGCAGGGTGATCCCCTATCCCCATACCTCTTTGTTTTGGCAATGGAGGTCTTCTCAAGACTGCTCCTCTCACGTTTTGAATCAGGTTACATCTCTTATCACCCAAAGGCATCTGCTCTGGATATTTCACACTTAATGTTTGCCGACGATGTAATGGTGTTTTTCGATGGGAGCAGTTCATCTCTGCAGGGTATTTATGAGGTTTTGGATGACTTTGCTGGGTGGTCTGGGCTTACAATGAATAGAGAAAAGACCTTACTTTTCCATGCAAGACTGTCACCAAGGGCTGAATATGAGATTGCACACTATGGCTTCCCCTCTGGCACTCTCCCAGTGCGCTATCTAGGACTGCCTCTCATGTCAAGGAAGCTTAGAATAAACGAATATTCTCCTCTCTTGGAGAAGATCACAAACAAGTTTAGGGGCTGGGCAACTAAATCTCTCTCCTTTGCTGGTAGAACGCAACTACTAAAGTCTGTGATCTATGGCACTATCAACTTTTGGGTTTCCTCTTTCATGCTTCCAAAAGGATGTATCAGGAAAATTGAATCACTTTGTTCGAGGTTCCTTTGGTCCGGAAATATTTATAATCACAGCAGGGCCAAAATTGCTTGGTCAAATGTTTGCTTACCAAAAAGCGAAGGTGGCTTGGGAATACGCAGACTCTCTGTTTGGAACACTACCTTGTGCCTCAGGCTCATATGGCTACTCTTCTCAAACAGCGGTTCCTTATGGGTCGCCTGGCAACATCACCACCATGAGTTAGCATCTGTTAGTTTCTGGGATGTTAAGGCAAAAGCTACTGATTCCTGGTTATGGACAAGCCTCCTAAAGCTGAGACACTTGGCAAAACGTTTTATCAAATGCAGCATTGGCAATGGCACAAAAACATGGTTCTGGCATGAAAATTGGACTCCTTTTGGTCCTCTGTTGGACTATCTGGGTGAAAATGGTCCCATGAACCTGAGAATACCGCGAAATGCAAGAGTCTCCGACGCTTGTAATAGTGAAGGGTGGCGTCTTGCTTCTCCAAGATCTGATCAGGCTCTTAGCTTGCAAATATACTTGTCAACTATCCACTTACCAAGCGATTCACAGGTGAATGATCAATTTGATTGGTATGTTGATGATAAGCTATGTCAGGGTTTTTCTTCTAGCAAAACTTGGGAGATTCTTCGACCTAGAGAGGCAGAGAAAGACTGGGCTGCTTTGGTTTGGTTTAAAGGCTCTACACCAAAGCATGCTTTCCACTTGTGGGTAACAAACCTAAATAGGCTGCCCACCAGATCAAGGCTGGCTTCATGGGGACTGCAAATCTCCACAGATTGTTGTCTCTGCGTTGGGTCAGTGGAAACAAGAGACCACCTCTTTCTTCACTGCCCTTTTGCACAGGTTCTCTGGGACTCAGGTTTTGCAAAGCTAAGGCTTCCACCAATGGTTTTTGCAGACTGGTCCGGGTTAATGGCATGGGCAAAAGGGGGAACAAATGCGACGCCAAATACGCTTCGGTTACTACTAATTCAGGCGATTGTCTACGCTATATGGCGGCAGAGAAACAATCTCATCTACAACCAAATTGCAATCCCGCCGCTAAATATCTTCAAGGAAATTGACCGGCTCATCATCAATTCTATTACAGCCAGGAGAAAGATGAAGAATTTCAGGAAGCTCATGGCCTTATGGCTCAACTAAGGATCGGTTTCTTTCCTTAATTGTTATTGTGTACTCTTTAATGTATCCTTGTTTTTTAGCTTTTTTTGGCAAGGTTCATGCTTCTAAGTCTTATATTTTGTAACACCAAAACTTTCATCTATTGATATTTACTCTCTTAGCAAAAAAAAAAAAAAAATATGGAAATGCGAATTCAAGTTTTTTTTTTTTTGAAGTACTCTTTATCTTTTGCATGAACCTTCCTTTGTATTTAAGTTGACCCACAACATATACACACACAAACCCATATTATTCCCATACACCTACCCATATATTATACTTATCTCCTTAAAACACACTACAAATAATAAAAAGGAAGTAAATAAAAAAAATTAATAACATACATGCACACTTGATGTTTTCTTATTTCCCTCTTGTCTCTCTATATATACACACGCATACATTCACACACGTTCACACATATACATTCACATTTCACATTACTAATCTCTCAAGATTTCACAATTTTCTTGTGATTTTCTCTCAGTTTCTTCTTTCGTTTCATAACATGGATACCATGAGTAGCGTAGACGAGAGCTCTACAACTACAGATTCGGTTCCGGCGAGAAAGTCATCGTCTCCGGCGAGTTTACTATACAGAATGGGAAGCGGAACAAGCGTGGTTCTTGATTCAGAGAACGGTGTCGAAGCAGAATCAAGAAAGCTTCCTTCTTCAAGATTCAAAGGTGTTGTTCCTCAACCAAATGGAAGATGGGGAGCTCAAATTTACGAGAAACATCAACGCGTATGGCTTGGTACTTTCAACGAGGAAGACGAAGCAGCTCGTGCTTACGACGTCGCGGCTCACCGTTTCCGTGGCCGTGACGCCGTTACTAATTTCAAAGAAACGACGTTAGTTAACGGTAACGACGATGACGAGGTTGATTTCTTAAACGCACATTCGAAATCAGAGATCGTAGATATGTTGAGAAAACACACTTACAAAGAAGAGTTAGAGCAAAGGAAACGTAATCGTAACGGTAACGGAAACAAGACGACGGAGTTTGGTTCCGTTACCGTGGCGGTTATAACGGGGTTTAAAACGTCGGAGTTACTGTTTGAGAAAACGGTAACGCCAAGTGACGTCGGGAAACTAAACCGTTTAGTTATACCAAAACACCAAGCGGAGAAACATTTTCCGTTACCGTTAGGTAATAATAACGTCTCCGTTAAAGGTATGCTGTTGAATTTCGAAGACGTTAACGGAAAAGTGTGGAGGTTCCGTTACTCTTATTGGAATAGTAGTCAAAGTTATGTGTTGACTAAAGGTTGGAGTAGATTTGTTAAAGAGAAGAGACTTTGTGCCGGTGATTTGATCAGTTTTAAAAGATCTAACGGTCAGGATCAAAAGTTGTTTATTGGGTGGAAATCGAAATCCGGATCCGGGTCGGATCTAGAAACGGGTCGGATTGTGAGATTGTTTGGGGTTGACATTTCCTTAAACGACGACGTTGTAGTGAAGGAAGCAACGGAGGTGTTAGTGTCGTCGTCGTTAAGGTGTAATAAGAAGCAACGAGTTTTGTAATAACAATTTTAACAACTCTTTTTTTCTTTTTGTAATTTCTTGGTAAAAAAAAAAAAGCTTTTTAATTTTTAATTTTATCTTTAACTTTTTACTTCTTGCTGAGATTATTTATGTTGCAAGTTGTAACAAGTGGAAAAAAATTAATTAGGTGTTGTTAAACAAATTTTGTGTTAATATGCAATGTATCATGTATAGATGAGCTAGTTAATTACTGTGATTTTTAATGGGCCTTACTCGTAATTTTTATGGGCCTTATTGATGTATTTATAGGCCCATTAAAGTGTTTCTTCCTCATATTCTTTGGTCCGTTGCTTTATTCACCAGCGAAAAATGTTGCAGAAGATTTCTCAGTCTCGTTCTTTATTTAACGGCGATAAATTAACGCCGTCGAGATACTTCGCCGGAGCTCCGACCAACTTCTTCTCTTTCCCTCTCTCAGGTTTTTCTCTACTTGCTTCTTTTTGTTTCGTCAAATTCATCTTTAGGTTTCGAGAAAATTGATTGAATTCGAGAAATTTTGGGAATCTCTGAATCATGATTCGAATAAGGTTTATGTATTTGTTTTATTGCAGTCAATAAGAAATCATCTTCTCTGAGAATTAAAAGGTATTATAACAAAACTGAATTTACATGAAGGTGAAATTTTAATATATAGTTTTTAACAAATTTTTATATCATAATTTGATGTATTTTTGTAGGATTCAACAACTTCAAAGTACATTAGAAGATAGAATAAATCCACCTCTAGTATGTGGAAGAGTATCGCCTCGTCTTCGTGTTCCTGATCATATACCAAAGCCTCAATATCTTGAGTCTAGCAAAGTACCAATGATATCAAGTGAGTTACAGATTCCTGACTCTAATGGCATTGTGAAAATGAAGAAAGCGTGCGAGCTCGCGGCTCGTGTGTTAGACTATGCAGGAACTTTGGTTAGAGTAAGTGAAAGATTAGATTTTTTCTTGTGGGTCTCTAAATTTGGTTTAATGGGTTTGTTTTGTTGCAGCCGTTTGATACTACAGATGAAATTGACAAAGCAGTGCATCAGATGGTTATTGAGTCTGGTGCTTATCCTTCACCTCTTGGTTATGGTGGGTTTCCGAAAAGTGTGTGTACATCGGTTAATGAATGTATGTTTCACGGGATTCCCGATTCTCGTCCGTTACAGGTTTGTAGTATGAAACAGCTTTTTGAAGTACGAGAATTCTCTTGTATATCTCACTAACCAATCCTTGTTTTCAGAATGGAGATATAATAAACATCGATGTTGCGGTTTACTTGGATGTAAGTCTTCTGAGCTTCTTTTGCTAATCTACCATAAGTTTTGGATGTAACACTTGTTTGGGGTTTAACACATCAATCAGGGATATCATGGAGATACGTCAAAGACTTTCTTATGTGGAGACGTCAATGAAAGCCTTAAACAACTTGTGAAGGTTAATGTGTTTTCCTTTGTGCTTCTTACTTTCCAACTCTTATGAAACCATTAAAAGCTGACGTAGTTATTGTTCTAAACAGGTGACAGAAGAATGCTTGGAGAAAGGTATATCGGTTTGTAAAGATGGAGCAAGCTTCAAACAAATCGGGAAGATAATCAGGTAGTAAATAGTACTAACCGGATTCAATAAGATATATAGGGAAGTTAGGAGGATCAGTTTTGATTATTTCCAGTTTCCAACAGTGAGCATGCTGCAAAGTATGGCTATAATATGGAGCGTTTCATCGGTCATGGTGTGGGAACGGTATTACACTCGGAACCTCTTATATATCTTCATAGTAACTGTAAGTAATGAACTGGTTTTTCTGCAAGAACTCTTCCTTATGATGGAATTTTTCTGAAAAAACTCTGTTTTGTGCAGATGATTATGAACTTGAATATATGATTGAAGGTCAAACTTTTACGCTCGGTGAGCATTCTCTATATAGAATTTGATGAAATACATTACACTCTTTTTATATATTGATTGGTTCCTTTCTGCACAGAACCAATTCTTACCATTGGAACCACCGAGTTTGTAACGTGGCCAGACAAATGGACAATTGTGACAGCAGATGGTGGTCCGGCCGCACAGTTTGAGCATACAATTCTTATTACCACAACTGGTGCAGAAATTTTAACCATTTCATGAACTATATTACATCATTAACCATTTAAAAAGTGAAAAAAGTAATTTATCTGATTATTCTTTTCTTTCTCCGAATTCATGTTATACATCAATACATCATACTTCATACAACTCAATTACAGTAAAACCTCTATAAATTAATACTCTATAAATTAATAATCTCTCTAAATTAATAAATTCTCCCGGTCCCAAGTTGGGACCAGTGTAAAATATGACATAAATCGATAAATTAATAAGATAATAATTTTTTTGAAAATCTCATGTAAAATATATGGTCCCATCTATATCATAAATTAATAATTGTATTAACTTATCAATATGTATATACATTATATAAATTTATATATGTTATATATGAATTACTATGATATATATTTAAAATATTATATGTAAAAAAATTGATAAAATATGACTCTATTATTTGAAAAAAGTTTGTGTTGTTTTTTAAACTTAATAATTGTTTCTCTACTTGTAATTAGTTTTTAAAAGATATTGTTTATAAAGAAAAATTTATTTTTAGATAGAATTTTTTTTTTAAAATTACAAATTAGTAAAATCTCTCTATAAATTAATAATTATTAATTTATCGTCTATAAATTAATAATTATTAATTTATCGATAAATTAATACCTCTCTAAATTAATAAAATTTCCTGGTCCCAACATTATTAATTTATAGAGGTTTTACTGTAATTAATTAACTAGGTAAGAACCCGTACCATACCATGTACAGTTGAATTTTATAGTAAAATATATACATTTGATTAATTTATTATGAGTTTTACTATGTTTCAAAAGTACATAATGGTGTTGTTTGGTTTAATAATGTTTTTTTCGAAAAAACCCTTACTTTATTATCTAAAAAGTAATTAACAATTTAGTGTAAGCCATTAACATTTTAAAAAGATGACATTAACAAACTTAATGAACATTAGAATCTTCGTGGAATCCCCCTTGGCCCATTGGTTGACCAAGGGTTAATTAATGCTTCTACACCAAGAGGTCTGGGGTTCGAGTCCCAGATATTGCGATTTATTAATAAATTTGCAGATTAAAGGAGGCAAGTGTGCAGGAGATCTCCAGCGAAGTACAATTATAGCCGTTCGCCAGGATTCTACGCAGAGAGAAGTGTCGTCAGGTCGTGGATCATTGAAGGTGTCCGTCAAGAGCATGGAGAAGGAAGTGTCGTCTGTCGTGGATCTAATAAGGGTCGGAAGGAATTGTCCATTGTAGAATCGTCTATGTAACAGTTCTCATAATTTGCAATAAATAATAAATCTAGACGTCAAAAAAAAAGAACATTAGAATCTTCTATATCTTATTTTAGAGAAAAGTACTTAAATTTTGTTTTTTTCTTTAAATGATAGAAAATTAGGATAAAAGTGTATGTGACATAGTTTAAAAAATAATGATATGTATAACTAACTATAATGAAATTAAATTATGGTATCTTTTTCGTTAAAAACTTAAAACTAAATAATAGTATTAGATCAAATGAAAAAGACGCATGTCACAAAAAGTAATCAACAATTTAATCTAAACAATTAACATTTCAAAGATAATGACATTAACAAACTTTTAATTAATCTATATCTTATTATAGGATAAAGTATATCAACATGTTACGTGTCAGTTTCTCATATCATGAGTTTGTTGGAAATCTTGCATATATTTTCAAGTTTCAGTCTTCGGAGCTTTGTTTTGAAGTTGTTTTTCTGAGCAGCGATAACAACACAGAGAGAACTCGACGATAAATTCAAAGATGGAGAAAACTGAGTGGTCTGATTTACCTGAAGAACTCCTAGATTTAATTGCAAACCGTTACTCCTCCAACATCGACGTCCTCCGTATCCGTAGCATCTGTAAATACTGGCGTTCTACGATTACGATGTCTAAAGAGCGTCTTCAGTTTCGCTTTGCACGCTACCTTCCTACCTCCAACAAGAAGATAAAGGCTTGTCTTTTTCCCACCACTTTCTTCCGTATAACTCTCCCTTCTTCATGTCCTAACAAAGGGTGGCTAATAAGAACGACACAAGCCTCCAAATATCGTAAGATTACTCTCGTGAGTCCTATCTCTGGCGAGCTCATCATCCATTCCCACCAAACCCTAGACCTTTTGAAGGTTGGCATTTCAGAGATTCGCCAATCTTACAAGATTAATATATTTGATGGATTGAAGGACGAAAAGATACCATCAGATATATTCTCTAATTATGACATGAAGTATGACAAGACACCATCAGATGTGTTCTCTAGAGTTGCTTTCCTAGACAATATGTTTTTTGCAATCAACCGAGATAAGAAAATATGGTGCTGTAACACTAGAGAAGGAAGTAGAAGTTGGACAAAGATTAATAACCAAGTCGAAGATTTCTCGGACATTATACTTCACAAGGGACGTATCTATGCCGTGGACTTAAAAGGAGCAACTTGGTGGATTAGTTTATCACAGCTTAGCGTTGTTCAACAGACACCTTCAACTCCATTGGACTACTATAATTATGATAGTTGCAAAGACACGAGGCTCGTGGAATATTGTGGAGATCTATGCATTGTTCATCAACTTAGCGTAACTAAACATTATATCAGGAGGACCGTTGGTTTTAAGGTTTATAAGATGGACGAGGATTTGGCAAAATGGGTTGAGGTTAGTTCCTTGGGAGACAAGGCACTCATTGTTGCTTGGGACAGTTGTTTTACGGTCGTTGCCTCTGAGTACCATGGATGTTTGAAGAATTCTATCTACTTCTTATCTTATTATGGCGAAAATCTTAAAGTGTTCAAGCTTGATGATGGTAGTATCATGGAGATGACTGATATTTCTTCTCAGAGTTGTTTTCACATGTTCTCTCTTCCCTTACTCTGAAACTGTTAATTATTTTTAACTAGATATGGATCCGTGCGTTGCACGGGTTACCGGTCAAAATTGTTATTTTTAATTTTTATTTTTGTAAACTTAACTAAAATTATATTAAAATATATTTTGATTTTAGAAAATGTAGTATTTTAATTATTTTTTAAATATATATTAATTATGCATAATGTGTAATATAAAATACTATTTATAGTTTTGTTTATTATATGTTACAGTATGATATTTAATTAATGTTCATAGGTGTATTATTGAATTTTAATAAATTATTTACATTCATCGGAAGAGTTTATAACACTTTCTAATTTCAATGTGAGCAAGATGAAAACAAAATTATGACAATATGAGACAGTCTATACCCACATCATGTAACTTTACTTGATAATATGAGAAACAAAACAAAAAGACAAATTCATAAAGAATTAGAGAATATGCACTAAATAACTTAAGACTAAAAAAGAATTAGAAAAATAATATTAACTAAACAATGTCTGTTTGCTATATGGTTTTTGTCAATTTTTGGCTCATATTACTCATAAGTTATTCGTTGTCTCTTTTTTCTTTCCTCTCGCCGGCGAGAAGTCTCAAATCTCTCTTTTTCTCTTATTAGATTTCTCTTATTTTTTCTCCTCTTTCTTTTTCTTTCTCTCCCTCTCGTTGGATTTCTTCACCACCATATTTTTTTTATTTTTCTATATCACTATCTCTCTCCATCGTCGGACATCACCACCGAATCTCACTACTCCGACCCACTAGGCCATCACCACAACTGAATCTCACAACTATCACAATCACCATCAATACAAATTTTATAAAACTTACTTGTAAAAAAAGTCTGAAATTTTCCAAAAGTCTCCAACTTTTTCTTCCACCGTACGTTATCGTCTGTTCCAAAGCTTCAACTTTTGTTTCCGGCATAAAACAAATCGAAGATTAACCCAAAATCTGTAATCATAACAGACCAATTAATCAGATCAGTATAAGGATTTCAGATAATAAACATAAACAATTCTAATGAAAAACAAAAGAATCAACAATTGTCTTGAAATTGTATTATACATGAGAAAGGAGATTCGATTTTGAGGGACTAGAAAAACGAATCAGATGCGATATGAGAAAGAAGATTTAGATTTTGAATTTACTTGAGATTTTCTTTTCAAGAGGATGATTTTGATATGCAACGATGAAGAATTAAAAAAAAACCAGAGAAGTAGAATGAAAATAATTTGATTTCGTTGAAGAGATTTTAGTATATTTATAGTAACGGTCGAGGTATTTATTTACAGAATTAGAAATCAAAAATCTAGCCGTTTTAAAATTAAGTTACCGTTAAAAACGGCTAATTTATTTACACAAACTCAGTTTTTTTTTTTTTTCTGCTAAACAAATTCATTAATGTCAAAACGAGTTTACAAAGTCATTACAGAAACTTCGAAAGCACATTATTACATAAGCAGAAATATGCGCCATATACTCAAGATGATATAAACTAAGAAGTGAATTTGACGATGCTTTCTTTAAAGCCTTACTCGCTAACGGATTATTTAACCCATTATTTTCCTTCTTTGTAATCGATCTTCTTATACGAAAGTTGTGCGGGACTATCTTTTCTTTGTAAAAACCCCAATTTGCACATCGTATTACAAAAACCCAATGCTTTCGTTGATAGCTCTGAACATGCAACAATCTGATACCAATGACTCCGTATCAGTGTTATTTTAAAAAATGGTGACTTTGATTTTCTCTCGAAGTGATCCCAAATGAACATTATTCCGTCTCGACCCTCTCCGTTGACTTTAAACCTTCTAATTCCCGGATCAAATATCCAAATTGCATACCCAAACCATAATAAGGTAGTGGGTAATGAAATTTGATGAGAACGTTGCTTCAATCTGAGACCAAATTGGAAGATTTTGATCAAAGAAAACATCCAAACGATCTCAGAGACATAACACCGGTAACACCACCGTGATGGACACCGGAAAGAGGCTCCAAGTAGGAGAAGAGAAGTGGTTACTGTAAACCAACATAAAGCCACGAAGGAAAAAGAAATAGACGAGAAGCGTTGCATCTGTTGGGTCTCTTGTTCTTTAGTTGCCTTGCAAATCTCTTCGGCGAGATTGATGTAACAGAAGACGAAGATCATGGCAGAGACATCGGAGATAACGTAGGACAACTCGTCTACATGGATCTGTTCTTCGAATCTGGTGAGAACGGAAGATCCCGCAAATCGTCGTTTCAATTGACGGGGGTTCATCAATCAATCTAACCGATTTTAATTAAAAGAGGAAAGGACTAAAACTAGAGGGAAGCATGAGCCGCCGACGATTGCCGGCGGCCCTAAAAAGCAAAACGGAAAAGCGAAGCGGCCAACAATGGAAACATTTATTTTCTCCTTTTCAATCGTCAAGAGAGAGAGACTTTTTTAGTAAATAAATATTTTTACAAACTCGGTTAAACACAATGATCTTTCTCATATATATGAAATTATTTATTATCTTTTTTTTTTTCGTAATTAATACTTCTTCCGTTTCACAAAGAGTGTCGTTTTAAGGTTTTAATCTTGTTTCACAAAAAATATCGTTTTATGTTTTCAATGCAGTTTTTAAGACTAATTCTCTTTTTTATCCATACTTTTTCAACTTATTAATTAGAGAGAGAGAATTATCTAGTGTATTAACAAGGGGTAGAAAAGAAATTTATTTACTTTTCTTAATTTGTGTGAAGAATGATAAAATGACACTCTTTGTGAAACAAAGGGAGTATACATAAGACGTCGTTTTAATCAAATGGCCGCGTTTGGGTTAGTAACATCGCGTCGTTTCTCACGGTGTTGTAATTGTTGCTTTTCTAAGACTTACAGTCTTACGATGTCGTTTTGGAGTATTTATATGTTTTCTTGCTCGTCAAGCTTTGCTCCTTAATTCTTGGTTTTGTCTGATTTCTTGAGTTTCTTTTTCCATGTCTGTCGAAATTCGTGATCTTCAACGTTCTAATGAAACTAAAATCCTACAGATGTCTACAGTTTTTCTTTGTGGATGCGTTTTAGTAGAGTCTTGGAGAATGGTTCACGAGATCCTACAAAAAAATATTTATGTTTTTTGGTATGATTACGAGATCGAATCATAAACCAAAAAAATTAAAAGTTACAAAAAAATACATATTAAGCATTACAAGAAACCAACCATATGATTACAAGCGAACACATCATTTTAGATTGAAAGAAAAACATAATATATATAAAACATAGAATAAGCTAATTCGGATTTAAAATTTTGTGTCAATTACACACAATAACATATAGAAGAAAAGAAAGAAAATAAAATAAAATCATCATGTCTTACAGAGGCATGTTCATCTAACAAAACTATATCTTCTATTTATACACACACATAAGATGTCAAATATTTTATTTAATTTCATCTAAAACATGGCTATCTAAAATATTATTTCTTTATAATGTGGGCCAAATATGTAGTTAGAATAACGAATTCAAAGCTTCATATGTAGTTAAAATATAGTTAGATACATTTAGCACGTTTTTTATTTCTCTTTTTGTAGTTTAGGGACCGGCCAAAAGTCCATCAACTTAGACCAAAGCTAAGACCCAAAAACTTGGACCATTTCCCACATTTTCTAACACTTAAAAAACTTGCCGTCCATGGAAACCAAATCCAAAATCCCCCAAAGCATCTTTCGTTAGTGACCCATTTTTGGGATATTTAGCTTTATCACCATTCACCATTTATCATCATCAATCATTCATCCAATATCTATATATATACACAAACATTTCGTAGAACTCAAATCACTCACCACATAACACCAAAGTCCCATCTCTTGAAAACAATCATTTCAAAGTATCTTCTCTCTAGTCTTTTTTCTTTTTTCTTTTGAGCAATGTCTTCTTCTGCAATGTCTCTCCAATCTATCTCCATGACAACTCTCAACAATCTCTCATGTAATCAACAATTTCATCAAAGCTCTCTTCTTGGTTTCTCTAAATCCTTTCAAAATCTTGGTATTTCATCTAATGGTCCAGATTCCTCCACTAGATCAAGTTTCACTCCCAAGAAGAAGCTCACTCCTACTCGAGCTCTCTCCCAGAACTTGGGAAATACCGAAAACCCCAGACCAAGTAAGTTTATTTTCTTCTTGATCATTTTTGTCAAAACTCATATAAACAGAGCTTTTTCGATTTTTTTTTCAATCATATTAACAGAGCTTTTTCAAAAATTATTTTGATATATTTACAAATTTGTTATACATAGATTAAAATTAATTTCGCATTTTCATAAATTTGCTAACTTCATAAAATTTGCTAAATTCATTAAATCTCAAAATCAAGAACCCAATTCACAAATTGATTCTTTTTTTCAGGTAAAGTTCAAGAACTAAGCGTGTACGAAATCAACGATTTAGATCGACACAGCCCAAAAATTCTTAAAAACGCATTCAGCTTTATGTTCGGTCTCGGAGATCTTGTCCCATTCACAAACAAACTCTACACCGGCGATCTCAAGAAACGCGTGGGCATCACGGCAGGTCTCTGCGTCGTCATCGAACACGTCCCGAAGAAAGGTGAAAGATTCGAAGCTACCTATAGCTTCTACTTCGGAGACTATGGCCACTTGTCCGTTCAAGGACCATATTTGACTTACGAGGACTCGTTCCTCGCTATCACTGGTGGCGCTGGAATCTTTGAAGGTGCGTACGGACAAGTTAAGCTTCAACAGATTGTGTATCCGACAAAATTGTTCTACACTTTTTACCTTAAAGGGTTGGCTAATGATTTGCCGCTGGAGCTCACCGGAACGCCAGTACCGCCGTCTAAGGACGCGGAGCCAGCACCGGAAGCTAAGGCGCTTGAGCCCAGCGGAGTTGTAAGCAACTTTACAAATTAGTGAATAAAATTAGTCTTATCTTTCTCTTGTCCTGTATCATAATTTTTTTCATAAAGAATTTTTTATATACTCTTCTTATACTTGTAATCGAATAATATGTATGGATAGTAGTAGTGTCTTTATGAATGCAGTATGTTTGAGTTGAAAAATACTTTAGGGTTGAAAACAGGTCCTGTCACATGTTTTCTCTTTTTTTTGATAAAGGGTCATGTCATTATGAGAAGACTTGAACTGCCTCAGGTGTGTCCGATTTAAAGAAAACGTTCTCAAAGTCTAAGCTGCATTTACACTTGATTACCCATTTTATAACATCCATATACAAATCTAAGCCTGAGGTGACTCGCGACATGGCACATTCTCCAAGTAACCAAACGCTTTAGCCCTTGCTAATCCAAATTTGCTAAATTTTTATAGACCTTCCACACACCATCACAAATACATTTATAGGAGTTAGGGTTCGGTGTTGTCCATACACATTACCAATAAGCAAATTCCATGGAATGCTACCTTATATTATCAAATTCCAAGAAAATACATCCTCAGAAAAGGCTTACCATGGTCTTAACCTAAGATTGAAGAAAGATGATCATGTTGGTGGATCAAATAAAGCTTCCATCCTCGCCTGATTTCATCAAGGAGGTGATGTACACTCATCTCAAGAACAAGAAAATTATACTAAGAAATTAAAAAAAGCTGGATAGGCACCAAGCTTTGGAAAAAAACCAACAGTTTAACCCGAATATTGTGGATAAATCAGACACAACCAACTTTCGAGTTCCTTCTCCAGCCAATTTATAGGTTGCAAAGATACTTTTACATATAAAAGGGATGGTGGGCCTAGTGTACTAATATATATTTGGTACAAAAGACTATTCTTTAACTTGTGGTATCTAAAGTCTAACTTTGAGTACTACCTGGAACTTTTATGTTTAACAAAAAAATGTTTTTACATGTAAAAGTCAGACATTAACAAATATTAGTTGAGAGATGATATATTTTCTAGTAATAATGAAAATACCTAGTTTAGATGTGATTTTGGTGCATCGCGATGGCGATGGAGATGAATCTCCCGCATTTTCGCATTGGTCAGACTATCGAAGCGTGGTCCAAGCTATCAATTTATCATGGTCTGCCTGAAATTTATGGCATCCTACCAGATAACAAAATCAATGTTCTATACTTTTCAAGTTATTCATTCCAAGAGCATCCAATGTTGAGGCAGATTCCCTTGCTAAGCTTATCTTATCAGTGTATACTGAAAACATCGTTGAATTAATCTAAGTAATGGTGTTTTTTTTTTTAAATGTGATTTTGGTGCATAAATCTTTTCACTGGTAAAAAAATAATTTAATCAATTTTACATATATGTATCCGGGCCAAATATACAGTTAGATTCATTACATTTAGCACGTTTTTTATCTTTATGTTTTGTAGTTTAGGGACCGGCCAAAAGTATTCAACTTAGATCCAAGACCCAAAGCTTAGATCACGTTCCGACCATGGAAACCAAATCCAAATTCTCCTAAAGCATCTTTAGTTAGAGACCCACTTTTGGAAATTTACGCACGTGCTACTTCATCAATCATCACTCATTCAATATGTCTATCTATAAATAAACAAAGACATTTCGTAGAACTCAAATCACTCACCACATAAAGTACAAGTCCTATCTCTTCATAAAATAGCCTTGAACCAATAAAGTCAAAGTTTCTTCTCTGGTCTTTTTGTTTTGCGCAATGGCTTCTTCTGCAATGTCTCTCCAGTCCATCTCTATGACAACTCTCAACAATCTCTCATGTAATCAACAATTTCATCGAAGCTCTCTTCTTGGTTTCTCTAAATCCATTCAAAATCTTGGTATCTCATCTAACGGTCAAGATTTCTCCTCTCCATTAAGTTTCACTCCCAAGAAGAACCTCACTGCTTCTCGAGCTACTCTCTCCCAGAACGGGAATATCGAAAACCCTAGACCAAGTAAGTTAATTGATCCTTTTGTTTTCAAACTTCTTCTTGTAAAAGACTCACATATATAACAAAATAGGTCTTTTTATATATTTTCAAACTTGAATAAATATATGATTTAAGAGACTAAAAACTAAAACCCATTTCATAAATTTGCAAACGTGACCTCAAAATCAAGAACCCAATTCACAAAGTGATTCTTTTTTTCAGGCAAAGTTCAAGAACTGAGTGTGTACGAAATCAACGAATTAGATAGACACAGCCCCAAGATTCTTAAAAACGCCTTCAGCTTAATGTTCGGTCTCGGAGATCTTGTCCCATTCACAAACAAACTCTACACTGGCGATCTCAAGAAACGCGTGGGCATCACGGCAGGTCTCTGCGTCGTGATTGAACACGTCCCTGAGAAGAACGGTGATAGATTTGAAGCTACTTACAGCTTCTACTTCGGAGACTATGGCCACTTGTCCGTACAAGGACCATACTTGACTTACGAGGACTCGTTCCTCGCCATCACTGGTGGCGCTGGAATCTTTGAAGGTGCGTACGGACAGGTTAAGCTTCAACAGCTTGTGTATCCGACAAAACTGTTCTACACTTTTTACCTTAAAGGGTTGGCTAATGATTTGCCGTTGGAGCTCACTGGCACGCCGGTACCGCCATCTAAAGACGTGGAGCCGGCGCCGGAAGCTAAGGCGCTGGAGCCTAGCGGAGTTATAAGTAACTATACCAATTGATTTATGAAATTAGTCCTAAATGTTTCTCGTGTCGCTGTGTGATGATATAAAGATTTGTAGTTTTGTGCTCTTATTTGTAATAGAATCATTGGGGAATAATATATATATTTAATTAGAAAAAAAAAAAATTATTTAATTAGTATTTTTTTTTGTATTCTTAAATAAAATATCAAGAAAATTTGTGAACAGATTATTTTTAGAAAAATATGATGAAAAGTCTTTGCAATCCCTGCTCAATCTCAATTATTTTGAAATTAAAATAGTTTAGTTAGAAAAACTGATATCATGTATTACATTAAAAAATTCAAATAAAATAACACAAAAATAATTAGACTATATGGATGCCATTTGATGACAAGGAGGAGGATAGGGTTGACATTGATAGATATGGATGGGATGGCGAAGTTAATGATCTACATGTCACCAGCCCAGCTTAGAGCATGTGTCAAGGTACAAAAGTACTGGATCTTTTTTTTTGTTTTTTAAGTTTTTTTTAGATAAAAAGACCTTAAACTTTTAGAAATTCTATAGAAAAGGTCCATGTTTTTGAATTTTTATCTAAGATTTGAATTTTTTAGATTTAGGTACAATGTCCAATATAATTTTGAGACGGGCTTGCATGTCACACTCCTCATTTTACAAATAGTTGACATTGATTGACTTTTCGATCAAATACCAATTAGGAGTTGCTGATAAAAAGTAGAAGAAGACCATAGTAGTAAAGTTGATAATGATAATTATTTACCTTAGACGATAAATGATACTAAGATTAAGAGATTGGGAGAGAAATGGATGAAAGGAAAAGAAGTTGAGAGAAGTAAAAAAACAAAAAAAAACAATTCACACTAAAAAGTTAGCTGAACTGAACCAGTTTTTTTTAGATTATTTATGGACCGTTGCACCATCCATTGGGCCGGACCTGCTCGAGAAGACAGAAAATTTCCAATCCATATGTAAAGTGACCGTCATACGGTCATACTTAGTGTGTGTACACGGAAAATTGACACAACCGATCATGTTATATATCTCTCACTAAAACAGTCTGATCAACAAGAATTTGAAGACATGGGCCACATGGCTACGTTTATATCTTTTGACTATTTTAGTATCTTCCCAGTACTTTGAGATCTATTACTCCTTAATAATGAATGTTACACGGTTTTAAGTCAATAAATAAGAAATACATAAAATTCTCTAGCTTACGCTTTTAGACCATCGAAACCGAGTGGAAACTACACAAAGCATCTTTTGACATATACGCACGTGTAACTTCATCATCGTCCAATATAAATAGACTCATTACTCAACTCAACAACCATAAAACCAAATCTCAATCTCTTCTTTAATATCAAAGTTTCAAAAGTCTTCTTGATCAATGGCTTCTTCTTCTGCTGCTATGTCTCTCGAATCTATCTCTATGACAACTCTCAACAATCTCTCTCGTAATCATCAATTTCATCGAAGCTCTCTTCTTGGTTTCTCAAGATCTTTCCAAAACCTTGGGATCTCATCTAACGGTCCAGATTTCTTCTCCCGATCAAGATCTACTACTTCCAAGAACCTCAACGTTACTCAAGCTTTCTTCTGGAATTGGGGCAAGAAGACCGAAAACTCCAGACCAAGTAAGTTTATAGATCCTTTTGTCTTTTAGTACACTCTTACCAAGTCAACGCCTGTTAATCAAATCTTGTTCGTAGATTTAAAACTAATCATCAAAATTTCTTGTTAAAGACTAATCCATTTTATTAGCTCACAAATCAATATGCTTTACTTCATAAGCAAAATCGATTATCTAAGTGTGATCTTAGACTTTATCAAAAAAAAAAAAAAGTGATCTTAGATCTTTAAATCACATAATTGATTTATCTAAAGATAATCTCAGATATTTAAAAACAAAATTCCTAATTCAAAATTTTCATTTTTCTTCTTTTGAAAATTCATAAATTCAAGAAACAGAGGTTAAATTTCTCTGTAAAAAGAGCTAAAAAAAAACTCAAAAATGGACATTAATTCTTCTGAAAATACATAAATTTAAGAAAACAATATCAAATTTCGTGTAAAACACTGACCTATAAGTTAAAAATTGAATACCAAATTCATAAATTCGAGTTTTATTCAGGTAAGGTCCAAGAACTAAACGTGTACGAGCTAAACGAAGGAGATAGAAACAGTCCAGCAGTTCTTAAACTCGGCAAAAAACCAACAGAGCTCTGTCTCGGCGATCTTGTACCATTCACCAACAAACTCTACACCGGTGATCTCAAGAAACGCGTCGGAATCACCGCAGGTCTCTGCGTCTTGATCCAACACGTTCCGGAGAAGAACGGTGACAGATTCGAAGCTAACTACAGCTTCTACTTCGGAGACTATGGTCACTTGTCTGTACAAGGACAGTACTTGACTTACGAAGACACGTTTCTCGCTATCACTGGTGGTTCAGGAATCTTTGAAGGTGCGTACGGACAGGTTAAGCTTCGTCAGCTTGTGTATCCGACAAAACTGTTCTACACTTTTTACCTTAAAGGGTTGGCTAATGATTTGCCGCTGGAGCTAACTGGAACTGCGGTTACGCCGTCGAAGGATGTGAAACCGGCCCCGGAAGCTAAGGCAACGGAGCCTAGCGGAGTTATTAGTAACTTTACTAATTAAGTAAATTAGTTGTGTGTTTTTCTCGTGGCCGTTTAATAATTGTTTTGTAAACGAATCTTTTGATGAGCTGTGTGAGTTTAGTTAATGATGTGTTGAGGGAATAAAGTATTTATTTTGACGTGACTTTATTGATTACGACTGGTCTTTCTACAACGTGGAATTGTTGTACTCGATTTCACAGTAAAACGTTTTACATTATTTTTGGTATTTTCACAGAACAAATTGATAACTAGAACCTTTAATCTTATGGTTTAAAATGGTACTCATAGTCTCATATACACAATTAGGGTAGTGGAGTTAATGCTAGTAAGTAACACGATATTTTTTGTTTAGTTACGGTTTTGAAACTAAAAAAAACAACCTAGTTGTTGCTGGCTATCATTAAATTGAGAAGTAATGTAAAGTAGCGCAAGTTAACATCTTATCGTGTGAATCGTGTAATATTGTTATATAGTCTAAAGATATTATTGTGTCTACCAGTCAAAACATATGTTTCGGAGGGAGATTTCATTTGTAGGTTCATCTACTGGAAGCCAAATATTTTTTTTGCAAATAATATGCTAGAAGTCAGGAACATTATTGTCGGGTTTCTGAAAGCTTTCTGACATTTAAGTTCAGATTTTGACCATAAGATTTGATCAGAAATGAGAAAAGAACGAAAAAAAAAATCTCGGTTTGCAATTTTTGAATTATTTACCAAATATATAAAAAGAGATTATGTCTTTTTGTAATACTGAAAACAGAGAGAGAATGCAAAATTCGGAGTTGTGACCCTTTTATTGAAAAAGATTTGAGTTTTATAGAACATATATCATGTCCTGATTAGTATACAAGTTGAAAAATAAGGTCTGATAGATCCGAGACACTTGGGTATTATCACCTAACTTTTAATCGTTTGTAACAGTTTTTCGACAAACGAATCACGAAGTATTTGAGGATAAAAACGGTCTTTGCTTATGTTTTCTATCTTTTTTGAGGATGATGAGTTCATTGGTTTGATCTTAAACCATTGAAAATTTATAGGTTGACGACACCAATTTTGAGATTTTTTCTTCTTCTATCCTTTAGATTTAAGTTTATATATAGATAATTTTTGTTGGTATAGTACGTACTAATCAATATTGAAAGCACACAAAATTTGGGGAATTGAGCCCAAGTAGGAAACATACATAAGGCCGTACATAAAGTTGGCCTGTTGGGTTCAATACATAAGGCCGTCTTTTTGTTCGGCCGCGGTCAGTGGTGAACACTGAATATGGCCTTTTGAGACTCCGAGGGGACAATTATAATCCAACACTAATATACATCTAAACTCCTCTATTTGCCAACTAATTTATTAATTTAAAATACATTTCAATCTAATCAAAACAGATAAGCCCGATAAACACAATTTTGATTTCTAGAGATGACCAAAATTTACACTAAAGCAAAGAGCTAAGTCTTTTATTTAATTTCATAGAAAAAAAAATAGATGGATCTATTAGTATCATAACATATAAATCGATATTTAAAAATTTTTTGAGTAATAATTTGATGTTGGTCTCTAACAATTTGCGGTTAATTTCCTAATATTTTAGACATCACCCAAACATAGTAGCTCATTAGTCATTACACATTAATTTCTATAGAGGCAACATATTTTTTTTGTTATCATTAAAGTTGACAGCTATTAGAGCCCTTAATCACATTTGATTTTATATATATAATTCCAAATAATATGGATATAACAACAGCATAGCATATAAATTGATATTTATAGCATTAGTTTATGTCTTTGATCGGGAAATTCATTGGCAGGCCATTATACTGGGAAGATACATTCGCATATATATTGTTGTACTTGGTAATCGTCTACTTGACATAATTAAAATTACCGGTCAAAACACACGAGAGATATAGGAACTCATATTGTGTGGATACACATAAAAACTAATATAGTTTATATGTGTAATTATGGATAAGGTATAGCGAATTCAACTAATTCTCAAGGTCCTATGACATATCGACAAGTATATTACAGGTTTTTTTTTTTTTTTATGGCTTTTCTTCTCCCATTTTTCGGCTGTCTACGAAGAGACATTTGGCTTTTCATATTGGGATATTGAAAATACATTTTCAACGTTTGATATATGATTTTGTGTGTGTGAAATTAATACTTACAGAACAAAAGAGCTCATGCACGTTTAGTTCTTTTTGCCAGTTGTTTTAAGGATTTGCATATTCTTTCCCACGTATTGAATTCTATAAATGACATTATAATCAAACTTGTAGAAGAATAGATAAAGCGGAGTTTGCATGTGTGTAAATAGTATTAGAAAATGTATAATTCATAGTCTTCCAAAATTCGATTTCTGTTGTATTCGACTCGTTGACATGTTGTAACTTATAAAGATTGTTATAGGATCACTTCATTAAACCTTGGTTGGATATACCCAAATAAATATTATAAAGTTCATACGAGAAAAACTTGGAATCACATCGGCGAATATTCACCACTGGATCCATACTAACTACTACACAACAAGGGAAAAAAAAAATCTCCTTCATATTCTAATTTGGCAATCATATAAAATATTAATTTGGGAAGGTATATACTTATTATATACACAAAGCAAGATTCGCTTTGTAATGCGACGGCCCGACTTCTTTCTTTCAAATAATGATCCTTGAGAAACTCTATAGAGCCATATATATCTTGTCTTTATAAAGAGACATAACCCATATAAATCTTCTTGACTAACTTTATAGTTAAAGTTATTTATTCAGAAACAAACAAAGCTGGATTTGTATTTTGTCCCTTAAACCACCATGATTAAGAACATAAGTACTATGAAGAATTACAATCAGAAACGTGAAAGATGTTGCGAGTTAATCGAAGCCCTTGAAGAAGAACGCCGCAAGATCAATGTGTTCCAACGCGAGTTTCCTCTTTGCTTAGAGCTCGTAACACAAGGTACATACCTATGCATTTATTTACATTTCATTTAAATTATAATGAGATTTGTATATATGGATTAATGTTAGATCTAAAGATTTTTTCAAAAATATTTTTTGGAATGGGGAATTTAGCGATTGAGGGGTATAAAAGGGAGATATCAGGGACGACGACGGATAACGTGTACGGACAATCGGAGTGCTCAGAGCAGACCACCGGAGAATGTGGGCGCGTGTTGGATCTGTTCATACCAATCAAACACTCTTCGACCTTCGTAGAAGAGGTTGAAGAGGAGGTTGATAACAAAGATGATGAAGATGATGATGAACATGAATCTAATGAAACCAACATAGATTTCGATGATAAGAACATGAAATCTGAATGGCTCAAGTCTGTTCAGCTCTGGAACCAACCCGACGCAGTTGTTTCTAATAATAGACAGGTAAGATTTTAATTATGGGTTTATTCTTGATTTATTTTATTTGTTTGCATTTACAGTTTGAAAGTTATTTGATAAATACACTGACGCATTATAGTCTTTTAGAACAACATAAACATAGTAATTTCGACTTTTAAGAGAAGAGATTCAATATTTGCCAAAATCCGAAAATCCTAAATAAATTTTAAATTTTGTCTTTACAAAATACTTCACAAATAGATTAAAAATTTAAAAGTTTTTTTGTAGAGGAAAAAGATTGGTACAACAAGAGGATTTTGTGATTGTTTATAGTTTAAGTTTGTAATAGCATTTTGCGTTTTCAGGATCGCTCACAAGAAACGACAGAAACGCTGGTGGAGTTGATAAAAAGAAATGATGAAGCAGTAGAGAAAAACAACAACATACAATCACCGGCGACTACTAGCGGTGGTGGTGGTGGCGGTGGCAGAAGAGGGCAGAGAAAGCATAGGCGGTGTTGGTCGCAAGAGTTACACAGAAGCTTCTTGAACGCTCTTAAACAACTTGGTGGCCCTCATGGTGCGTTTCTTGATTTTAGTTAAACATTTCAGTAGTCATAATTTTTTATTAGGGCTCAATGAAGTTAATTAATTCCTATAAACTAATTTTTATTGTTAATTAAAATTTGAAGTAGCTACGCCGAAACAGATAAGAGAGCTAATGAAGGTCGATGGCTTAACCAATGATGAAGTCAAAAGTCATTTACAGGTTAGTAAATCATATTCCATGAAAAAAAAAAATCTATATATAATAGCAATCTAATAAATACCATTTGCACCCTTGAACGGTTGCGTCTGTTTATCGCAACCTTTCGTTTAAATACTTACGGTTTTTTTTTTTTTCGGTTGTGTCTTTTTATCCCATTTTTTCGTTGAAATATTTACGGTTATTTTTTACGGTTGTGTCTTTTTATCGCATCTCTTCGTTAACATATTTACGGTTTTTTCATATAGTTATATTTGTTCAATTACAGTCGTATCTTTTCAGTTTACGGTTGTTTCTTCATAGTTGTATCTATTCATTTAAAGTTACGTATCATATTATATAGATTTAAATTTTAGCTTTTTAACTAAAATATATATTCTATGGTTGTTTTTTAAAAAAAAAGTTGCAATATGAATAAATAGTTTCTACGGTTGCATCTTTTAATCGTAACACCTCATATACAATTGCGATGGTTCAGTTTGGTTGAACCATTGCAATATTTACTTTATTTAACGAACAATTGTAATTTTTGATTCATTTTATAAATCGTTAAAAAATTAAAAATATATATTTTACGGTTGAATTTTTTTAGAAAAATATGATCCAGATAAATATCTTCTACGGTTGCGTTTTTTTTTATCATAACTTTTCATAAACGGTTGCAATCGTTTAGTTGAACTATTGCAACATATCGTTTATTTCACGAACAAATGCAACTCTTGGTTTATTTTATAAACCGTTATAATATTTAATTATCTACAGTCACATCTTTCGGTGTAATTTTTTATAAACTATTATTTCAATTTTAGTTACTAAAATGTATTTAAATAAAACTATAACCGTTTAATTGAACCGTTGCAACATTTGGTTTATTTGACAAATTATTGCAACTTTTGATTATTTTTTTTATGAACAGTTGTAATCTTTAGTTTATTTGACGAACTTTTGCAAAATTTGTTATATTTAACTCTATATATATATATATATATATATATATAATTTTTTAATAATAGTTTAGAAAAATAAAAAATTACATCTACTTATTATAACTTTTTGTTTAATATTTTTTATATGATCGCATCTTTTCACCATAGTATTTTCTAATAATAATACAAGTCTTTAAAAATATTTTTGAGGGTTTACGTCTCTTTATCATATTTTTTGTAAAATATATTTTTATTTATTGTTAAAAATAATTGTTTGGAAATTTATTATCTCAATTTATTATGACATTTTGTTTGATATTTTTTTCTTTAAATTTTTTTGAAATCCTTTCCCCCGCGACATCGCGGGGGGTCTTAGTCCTAGTGTAAATAATAAGTTCCATAATTGGTAAAAGTATGAAAACTATGATTTTTTGCCAAATTAAGACATTTGCGCGCGTAAATCTTGTTGAGTTAATTTTTTTGCCAAATAAGTTTCCATGCATGTTTTTTATCATATTTTTTTGGTTTAAATTTATCATTTAATTATAAATTTTTTTAAAAATAAATTGAAACAGAAAAATTATTTACTGTTTCATTTTGTTTCTTGATGATCAATAGAAATATAGGCTGCATGCAAGACGGCCTAGCCAAACAACACCTAACAACAGAAACTCTCAAACACAACATTTCGTGGTCGTTGGTGGAATATGGGTCCCGCAGACTAACCACTCCACGGCCAACGCCGTCGCATCGGGTGAGACCACCACCGGGATTTACGGGCCTATGGTCAGTCCGTTGCCGTCCGAGTGGCCTAGCCATTCCAATTTTGGTCGGACGATTTCGGAAGATAGATCAAGATCATGCTCTAACAAAGGAATTTTTCGGTGTAGCTCACCAGCTATGTCTTCTTCTACTCGTACAAAGACGAAAGATGCAAAAATATTATAATTCCAACTGTAAAAATCATTTTTTTTCTTTGGTTTAACAACATGTACATATTTGAATTCGATTAGTGACAAATCGATGATACAACACAAACTACTAGAATTACTAGTTTTGGAATCGCATATGAGAATCGTAATTGTATTGAGATTGATGTATTAATTAGTAACATATTTTTTATAGAGGAAGCTGTACGTAGCCACCAAATAAATGTCACTAACAAACTCAAATTAATTAATTTCATACTTAATATATGTATGTCGGCCACATTTTCTAGTTAATATAGTTATATACACTCTGCCCCAAAATATAAGAATTTTTTTAGATAAAAATTAAACGCGAAGATTAGAAAAATATTTTAAAAACTAAACATAATTTAATAATTAGCTGAAAATAAAATTAAACTAATTATTAAAAGAAAACTACTGAATTTAAAGGGTCAAAAGTATCAAACAACATAAAATTGTGTAAATTTTTTGTAAAACATCTTATAAAATAGAACAAACGACAAACTTCTATAACATCTTATAAAAATGGGACATATGAACAAAAAAAACTTCTTACACAAAGACATTATAGAAACTGTAACATGTCTTCGAAAAAAAGAAAAAAATACCGAATTTTTTTTAGAATTAAAAAACTTATGCCATACAGAATTGAGGACTCGGAACTCGGTAGAATATCCCGGAATCTGAAGAGCATAATCTGCAAAATTTCTATATTTAAAATATGTATGTTTTTCAGGTTAAATTTCATTCTTTTGTTGCTTGGATATTAATACAAATTAAATGTGCACGTACGTTGGGCTCCTTCTCGTCGACTGTATTATTCTTTATTTGTTGCTTTAATTTTACTTAAATACAATTTTTTTCCCCTATAACTGCGTAAATCTTAAACCCAAAATATGTTCAGAGACTAGTTTTTTTTGTAACTTACTTGCAATTTGAAAAAGGCCTAAAGCCACATGAAAATTTCTGACCATTCTAACTCCCTACACTACTATACCAATATCGCTTGACTTATACACACACATTCTCTCTATAACAAAAACAAATTGTTTGGTTTTCTTGTTGGCTCTCACTGTTGTTTATTAAGTATTGTTCGTGTAGAATTTTGGTTAACGTCATTTTGTGCTAGGTTTTCTGAATCAGCAATATGCAATCCAAATGATCTCGATCTGTAAGTTAATATCATTTTACGTGTTAATGAATAAGTTAAGATCATGACTTTTTTACTCTTAAATCAAATTTTCTTGGTTCCTATGGTTTCAACTTTCATCACCTCAAACAAAGTTTTGTCCTACCAATTTATTGAATATCTAAACATGTAACGGTCTACAAATTTAGGGATCCTTTCATGTGACTCTATGAGCCATGTGACATATATATTTTGACTACCTTGTCCGAACTATAACAAATGGGACTATGTATTGTTTAATTTTAATATTACATATTGATTAATTTTAATATTCTTACTCATAATTTTATTTGAAATAGGAAGACCATTGGGAAACTTGAACCTTGAGAAAGGCTATTGGCGTTCCCGATATGGCGGTTTGATCTATTTCAAATCTTCAATAATATTTTAAATATTTGTTTGATTCTATAGATGTGTAATATTAATAATTTAATAATTGGACGACAGATCCAAAAGAACAGGAAGATTAGGGTTTCCTTATGATATGATTATTAATTAATAGATTGGGATGGGTTAAACTCTTAAAAGCAGGATCTTATGTGACCTTTCAGAGTCATTAAAAGCCTAAATAGCTCTTGATACTTACTTTAGGACCATTATGAGATCAAAACATGGGAAAATAAACAAATAATTAAGCAACAAATGCTTTTTCTTGGTCTACACTTCTCATATTATCAAATGTTATATCCATATGGAATATTCGACTAGACCTCATTACTAATTGTATAATGTTAGTTCATACTAAATTTATCAACATTTGTGCATAAACAATGAAACATATCTCTGATTAACAATAATAAAATATAGTACGTGCTAATCTTGTTTTAATCTTCTCTTATATGAGATTAGGATTGATCAACCAAGTTTGACATGGTGTTCTTAGTCTTATAGGTGTGAATTATTAAATCATGCTTTCAAGGATTCTTTCTTGAATTCACGATCGCGATAGGTTGAAATGGAAAATACAGTACCACTGTTAAATTATTTATTTACTAATTTTCGAATAGCGACATGATCTTACAGGCTAACATATATATATATTTTATAATTTTCTCATTATTCTAACGTTGAGTGCTGCTCTTAACATTTGCAAACAATTTTGGGCTAATGAGCCCGAAAAGTTTCCGAAGATGGACCAAGCCCGTCTAACATATTCTGTAATTCAAAAGAAAAAATTCAATTGCCATAAGTTTATTTTATTTTTATTAAAAAATTGTTTACACGTATAACAAATTAACTTCATTGAAAAGAATAATGTATATTAATTTAAAGTCATAACTATTTACAGGTAAAAATAGTTATACATAGACCATAACTATTTTATAGATAATCAATGGAAATGAAAAAAAAAAGTATTTTCTAGACCTGCATTCTTTACGTTAATTTAAATATAGTTGACAATGAGATTCAAACTATGTTTTCAATAACGAGGTGAAGGATCGAGGTCGAGGTATGACCAATATAGAGTCAGCTCGTCCTTCACCACTGCAATTTCATGCCAACATCTTGCTCAAATGAGTATTCCATGGAGAGTGATTGGTAACCTGCGAAAGAAAAAGAAACACACCAAAATATTTAGGCACATTAAAAGCATTTGATACAACTAAAGAACTAACTATACCACTGCACTATCTTCATTAACCGTACTAGTTTAGCTTGATAATTAGTTCCTAATTTCCTCTTTTCGTTTTATCCTCTGTTGAGTTCTAATATTGTAATATATATAGCAATCAGCCAATCACTCCAGTTCCAAAATATATTTAGTCGTTACTGAATAGCTATTAACTATGTCATTCGTGTAAATATTTCTGCTTATTTTATCGAAATAAAATTATGCTTAAATAACCAAATATTATTTTACAAAAAAAATCCTGAAGTATTTTTGATGGAAAATTATATTCATGCATGTTAATCGCTAACGTATATATCAGCTTCTTAGAAAAAATGACCAAAAGCTTACGTTAAGTTGTTTTTTTTTTAATAAGTTTTCTCAGGAAGATTTTATAACACCAAGGTTTGATGTTAGTTCTTTTATATTCTGATAAGTTTTTATATTTCTTATTTTCATAACGAATTTTCTTTTGTATTACTAGTTACTAACTTACTACTGTACAAAATCTTGTATATATGGAGCATGAAGGATTAGTCATTATATTTTATTGTTTAAAGTGAAATGAACCCTAAATAAACTAGTGATGGTAAGTTAACCAATAATACGAAGGTGTGAAACATCAGCACAAACCCGAATTCGAGTTTTACGTATTGCAGACGTTAAAGATAGTAAAGTGAAAAACAAATTATTTCATGTTATAAAATAGAGTAAAATTAAAGTTAAGAAAAAAATAGGTTAAATTTTCTGTTGACATAAATAAACTAAACCCAAAATACGGATATAAGAATTATTTGTTGAAATTATTAACTGATACTAATCAGTACATACGAGATATATAATTTATTCCAGCAAAAGAGAAAATTAAAACTTTTTGTTTAAAAAAAAAAAAAAGAAGAAGAGAAAAGTTAGACGTTAACACAATTAAATTATAAAATAGTAATCAAGTAAAAGGGTAATATTTACCAAGCTAATACGATCCGATTCTTTCCACACATGTTTCTGTCTCTCGCTCTCTTTCTCGGAATATAAATGAAAGGCATCATATTTTTTTTCTTATCAAAAGAAATCTTTTTTTTTTATCAAAAGAAATCTTTGGAAGAACATATATAAAAAGTGATCAAGTAGACTCTACTTAAATAGACAAAGTAAAGCTTACATACATGTGTATATATGTATATACGTGTTTGGTAGGAAATTACAATTGGGGTAAAACTAAGGTAGTATATAAATGCCTTTTATTTGTTTTGGTGGTTGGGATATATATATGCTCTAACCTCCAGCATTTTTTAATACTAAATTGCCAAAATACCTTATACAGTTATACTCATTGTATTGTCAGCGGTTATGTCTAATCACAATCATATATAACATAGTATGATCGCGCATGCTATAATTCACAATTGCTATGTACATAAATCAACTTTGCTTTGATGATTTATATCAGTGTTGAAATGTTGTTCGTTTGTAGGTTTATTCCTAAGAATTTTTATTTATTTTTTAATCCGTCAAACAAAATATCACATGTATCAAACAATAGAATGTACGTATATATATGTAACTTTTGATCCAGTTTGATATTTTCATGTATAAAAAATCTTTTAAGTTTGGGCTTGTGGTTTTAAGTTTGGTTTTTGTATTTTTTGGGTCATGGAAATATTTCACCAAAAAAAAAATCTTTTGAATTATATATGGATAGATACATGCGCACACATACACACATATATATATATATATATATATATATATATATATATATAAGCAAATTTCATGCATACGTATCATGTTTAGACTAATCGAAAAATTAATATCGCCACCAAATTCATAAAATTCGATATAAAGACCCCCACAATCCCATAGTATATGCTTAATTTGTCTTGTGTGAAACTTTGACGGGTTATTATGTAAAACGTGCATGTGATGATCAGTGCTTACTTAGCAGTCTTGAGAGTCTACACGTTTGTATGTGCGCCTATGCATGCAGGCAGCATATATATACACGTGTACGTAGATGTGAAATGCATGCACACATATATAATATATGTATAACAAAGTATAACTATCACGATACTGTTTCTTAAGTTTGGTGACGTACGTAAGTTTGGTTGTACTAAAAAAAAAAAAAAAAAAAAAAAAAAAAAAGTTTGGTTGTACTACATATCAAATGGGTTGTTCACACCAAACCAAAACCTAACTCGAATGGAGTTATCACTATGTGGTTTAAATTCAAAAATAAATTTGTAACTATTATTTGTGATTTCGAATGTTGTAATAACTAACCATTAATTATACGGCCAAATAATAATATAAGAAGTCATAATTTAAATAAGGATCCGCATATCGTGAAAATCAATCACATGTATCAAACAATAGAATGGATTCACGGCAATTGATCTACCTGATTTGATTTAAAAACTAAACTGAATCAAACATGGGCGACTGGTTGGCGGGCCCTGGTTGTTTGGGTGAAATTCCCTCCACCCCGGCTTCGACTCCACCTGCTGTTATCAACATTATTGTGGGTAGTCTGTCAGTTGGGCTTTGGACCAATTGGTTTATCTGGTAGTCAGAAATGCAGGCGACCTGACTACCCCTGGCACTTAGTCGGAAGGTATTCCAAACTCGGGATAGGTAGAGTGGTAGCCCGAAGGGCCTAGCCGTTAACACGGTGGACCAGTCCACTATGTAGCACCTCGGTGCGTTTCTACCGGGGCTGACCGGATAGCCGATAGGGTTTATCAAAAAAAAAAAAAAAAAAAAAAAAAAAAAAAAAAAAAAAACTGAATCAAACATATTAAAAATTGAAATAAACTGACCAAAAACCAAAACCTTATCCCTAATTTCAAGACCCATTTATGATATATCTATATCTACACGACTACACGTCCATTATCATAGTGAGTAACATGCTTGTGTTAAGTAGCTTTTGAAACTCCATATTGTTCCATTTACTTTACGTTATGAAATTAACAAGACGAAATATGGGTTCCACTTACACTTAAGAGTTGTAGAAGCATCATAACTATGACAACACCCCTTCAAAGTTCAAAGTTCAAAGTTTTGAATTATTAAATTGATCAAGTTTCACGTGGAGTGGTGGATATACTCACCATTTAATATCTCAACTCTTTCTATCTATATATATAAAGAATTTAAATGCAATTTAAAATAGACTGTATCATGGAGCTTTTTGCTTGGATGGTGGTTGTTGGGGATTTCAACGCAATCACTTCGCTTTCAGATGCTTCCACTCCAAATGTCACGCATTACTCTCCAGCCATGGAAATATCTTTCACTTGTGCTTTTTGTATACTGATTTATTTAATTTTGGACTATTTAAGGTCCCACTTGATCAAATAGAAAACCTAATTGCGGCACTCATTTATTCACAAAACAGTGGATATCCAATCGTAAATAACTTAGTTCATTTATCAAATATATTTTTAAATAATTCTAAAATGACATTACACTATTTATTTAAATTACACGAAATATGTATCATTTATTTACGGTTTTGTCACCTTTTTACCATTTTTTTTTTTTGGTTATTTAGCTAATATACATAATATTTTATGTTACCAATTGCATGTTGTTGTTTTTATTGTTGCAACTTAATCAAACCGAATTAATTGCACAATTAGTTTTGGAGTTTCAATATTCCTACTCCTAAACAAATGTCTTGAAGAGTTGGAGAAGATTTGTGCTATTCCTATGGAGCTAAAATGCCTTACGAGTTACGATTCTAATCAATTGCTTTAAAAAATAATGTGGATATCTTTGCATGAAAAGCTTAATCCATTGGAAAAATATTTTGGGGTTAAAGTTGATTCGACTCTTGTTTTCGGGAGAAAGTTCGCTTTGTTTTACCATAAATTATCAAGAATTTGGTGCAAACTCTATTTTTCAAGGTTTAAAACTACCAAAACATCGGTAGCTGGATCAATTTTGGTATTCAGTTGACTGCTCCTAACAGAAGAGACATATTATTGGATCCCTACTATCACTTTCTCAGCCATATATCTCTCAGACGATCATAGCCAAACTCGCTTCAACTCCACGCATTATCATTCTCTCATACAGTGGAAATTACTTTATTAAATTAATTCATCAATGTGTTAAAACAATTTAATTACTAACTTTGATTCTCGCATGACTGTTACAGCCAATAATAAAACTATTTAGATACAATCACAAAGTTTCTGCTATAAATAATTACAATTTTGAGTTTCTGTTTGTATCCAAATATAAGTTTTTGACTTTATTTTGATTTGAAAATAATAGAGTGTTACCATTTACGTCGACCATGTTTATCATTTTTTTTTACCTCAATAGAGTATTTTCTATTTTACATAAGTCTCCAAGCTCTCCTCAGTTTTTGAAGAAATTTTGTAAAGGGTGGGAATCTATGTTAGTGATATAATTTAATTTAACCCTAATTCATACTATAACAAACAAAAATTTTTTGGCCGGTGGAACAAAAACAAAATAAACAACTCTGTTTGATTGCAACTACACAATAAAAGTTCTAACCAAAAAGGGTATGTAAAATGATTTTTTTTTTTTTATCTTGGGAATAAATATAACAAATATTAAAATTTTTGAATGTTGATGGCAACGGATCCTTCCACGCGGCTTTGAGCATGGCCTTTCGAAAGTTAGGTTCTTTTTTTATTTTTTGAAAATTAATTGAAAAATGTGTTAATCCTTTGTTTGTTGTTTTGAAAACTAAAACAGTATTTACTATTTAGTAGAATTCGCAGCACGAAGAAAAATACATGATCTACGAAAAATGTTTGTTGAACTAGACGAGAAGTTATCAACATAGAGTTTAAACACATTAGTAGCAGCAAGACAATGGACAAAAACCGTACCGAGTCACTTTAGTTTGCGTGTAATAAAAACGGAAGATAAGAATCCACTACTACGTTACAAATAGATTTAAGCAGAGAAACAAGATCTAATGTTTTTAGCTAGACATCATCACATTGTCAATAGATTGAAGGGCTTGGTTCGCGAAAAACCTGACATCAACATCTGGATCCTCGCTTAGCTCCACAAGCCCAGGACGAATCGTCTTCTCCACAACCTTTTTTTTCCACCACAAAACCAAAAATCAAAACAGAGCCGTTTTCATAACAAAGCAGCGAACCAGCTGGACTTTGCGATACACTTACCGATTGATCGACTATTGAAATGAGGGATTGAAGCACTTTCGCGACGTTGAATTTGATGTTTGGAACTCTGTAGTAGTGAAAGAATTTTTTATTTACTTAAACTTGTTTGAAGTAAAATGATTTGAGTATTAACTCAGTGACAACTTGCCTGTCTTTAGATGCAGCCATTACTACAGGTAAGAGCTTAGAGCATGTGATCTCTGAGCCCATTACTGGTGCAAGAAGAGAAACCGCGCGCAAAATGGTCATTCGGTAAAGATAGTGAGGGTTGTTAATCATCTCAAGAACCTACGGATTAATGGAAAAAGGATTGATTAACTCTAAGAAGATAGCTTCTATTTTTTTCTACAGTTGTAAAGATTCTAAACAAACCTGAGGAACTATATGTTGCATTGCCCATTCAGGACCAAATTCCTCAGCAAGCCGCTTGAGATTGTTAGCAGCAGCATCGCGGATTGAGTGAACCTAATGAGAGCATCGGCAAAAAAGGTTTCAATTTTAATGTATAAAAAGCGTTTTGTAGTAAATCTGATCATTCCCAGTAAAAGAAAGAGAGAGAAAGTAATACCTTGTCTTGTAACCATTGCATGCAAAGAGCACCAAGCTTATCGTCAAAGAAGCCAACACCTAACTGACTAGCCAACAAAGGGATATACTCAATTATAGCAAGTCGTACTCTCCAGTGTCTATCTTCAGCAAGTTCCACAATAGCTGGCAACAAGGATTGTGATAGTAGATCAATCCCAATAACCTGCCACATATAAAATATAGAAGTCATCAACTGAAAATGGATGGGCGAAAAAGGCAAGTTAAAAGAGTTTAAAGTCTTTTCAAAATATGATATCATGAAGCCATTGACATGATTTGGTTCCTTTTAATTTGGATATGAAAAAGAATGGGTAATTCGGTTGTAACAAACCTGATTCACTTGGTCGAGTTTGCTGATAATGTTCAAGCGTACATCTGGGAACTCATCTTTCAATAGAGAAAGAAAGATTGGAAGGAGATGTTCAATTGTTGCATCCTGCAATGAAAAGAAAAGAACAAGAAGTTAAACTCTGCAACATACACAATCCAACCAAAACATCGTGTATAAGAAACCAACTTCAATTTAAAGTTTTAAACTCAATTTTGTACAATTGATCAGGGTTATGAGAGCATACACAACCTAAGTATATTTATTCTTAAAGATGAAAGAGCACATGCGATGCTTCAAACAACAGGATGAAAAAGGGTTGGACATAGTCATAATCATTAAGATGCTAAAAGTAATTTGTGCATTATAAACCAATACATCTCTATTTGCAAACTCTCTGACCTTACCCAAGACTGGAGCCATTCCCATTATAACCGAGGCCAATGCAGATCTGACATGCTGAGAAGAGTCTGATGATAGCTCCTACAGGTAGGATCAAGAGGAACTATCAGTAATATGTAACAACTACACGTAGATTCTCTGTAAGGAACTTGAAAACAATTGAATTTTCTTAAGTATGTACCTTCACACAGGGGAGAATGTGCTGGATAGCAATTTCAGGGTTTAGAATCCGACAAAACTTTGTGACTTTTCCGGCAGCTGCTATGCGTACTTCAGCCTCATTGTCACGAAGTAGACGCACATATGCAGGCACCAGCTCCGTCCTTAAAATAGAAGACACAGTAAATAATATCAAGAGGAAGTAAAGGGGATCATCAAGTTCCTTAAGCCTATTGGATGATATGCATTTCTATATTGAACATTAGATAATCCCTTCAAAGGAATCAAAACATGCTGCTTTAGGTTTATGTGAAACGTTCTTACCTAGTAGGCTCAGGTCCCACAGCTTCACAAAGCTCGTAGAGTTGATTTGCAACCATATAGCGCACACGCCAAGACTTATCCTGCTCAGTGAAAAAGTACAGAGATTAAGCATTTCTTAATTGTAGATCATCAGCATAAATGCCTATACAATTTGCAGACATAATCACCTGCGAGAAATTAACAATCACGGGAAGAATGTGTTGGACACAGTCCTGGGGCTCCAACAATTTCCCAAGAGCAGCACAACCCTCAACGGCCAACAATCTAACAGAATCTTGATCTGATGGAAAATGAAAACCGTAAGATGAGATAAATACATTGATGTCTGTATGGACTTCAGCTAATGCTCTCAATGTTCAATGCATTATATCCGTCACCCGCAAAAAAACAAAGTTAACAAAAATTCGACAACTACATGCTCTTGAGTAAACAAGAAAGTACCATCTTGAGTAAGATCATCAAACATGGACATAATGTCAGTCTTCAAATGCGCTGATTCAATCGTAGCAGCAAATTTCCCCAGATTGGTTGCTGCAGCTCTCCGCACTATTGGCATATCATCCTGACAAAGCTGAGTATATAATGATCTTAACTCAGTCTTCAACATATCCGGCGCGCTTGGGTATGCAATATGAAAAACCCCACAAGCTGATACTCTTGCTGTAAACCACTCACCAGCCGCGAGTCGCTTAACTAACGGTATGAAATGATCAACCAAGTCACTCTCCTTCATCTGAGAACCAACTCTACAAAGCGACTCAACAGCTTTCTCCCTAACACAAGTTTCTTAAACACTCGAAAGAGTTTCCAACGGCGGAAGCAAAACATGTGCATATTCAACACCTCCAACATAAGCAATAAACACACCCAATTCTTCAGCCATTGCTAATAACACCTCATCATCATCGTCATTGTTTTCACTAAGAAAAGGAATCAACTCCTTTCTAGTCCTCTCTTCACCAAGAGCACGAGCAATCGTAGAAAGCCTTCTAATGGAATTCAATCTAAGCTGAATATCATCGTTTTTTAACTCGTCTATAAGCACAGCTATTGGATACAATGGCTCATCGATCATAGACATCTTCAACAAACCCTATTACCAACCAGAAAAAATCTGAATAAATTGAGTGATTCAGAGTTATTGCTCATGCAATTTCACAAAGTTACTACATAATTATATAGAGATCGTGTAACACAACACTAACAATCAAAATTTTGAGAACTTAGGTCTCAGATTTCGAAATTCTCTTATACGTTTGAAATTTCTTCGGAATTGAATGAAAATGGTTATAGATTTACCAATTATGGCGTCTTCACAGAGGCTATTGCAAATTCGTCGAGCGATCTACCGATCAAGAAGAACGAGACCGCGAAGAAGACAGAGAGAGAGGGAGAGAGAGAGAGAGGGAGAGAGAGAGAGATTTTTCCCGAAGCTTTTTCTCCTAGCAAGTAGCATCTTCAAGCGTTCATGGAATTGGGCCTAAAACGAAGAAGATTTTATAAATGGGCTTATTTTACTTGAGGGCCAAAGAGAAAAATATGGCCCATTAACGTTTTTATTATTATTTATTGATACCAATTAAGTAAAAGTTTTACGGTCTGTTTCAGTGTTTCTTATCCCTCAAAATGATGTAGAAAAACATATACAGTAAAACCTCTATAAATTAATAATGTTGGGACCAAGAAATTTTATTAATTTAGAGAGGTATTAATTTATCGATAAATTAATAATTATTAATTTACAAAGATATTTTACTAATTTTATAATTTTTTGCAAAATTTCTCTCTAAAAATAAAAAATTTCTTTATAAGGAATATCTTTTAAAAACTAATTACAAGTAGAGAAGCAATTACTAAGTTTAAAAAACAACACAAACTTTTTTCGAATAATAGAGTCATATTTCATTAAACATTTTACATATAATATTTTAAATATATATCATAGTAATTCATATATGACATATATAAATTTATATTATATATATATTAAGTTAAATAAACATATATATATATATATATATATATATATATTGATAAGTTTATACAATTATTAATTTATGGTATAGATGGGACCATATGTTTACATGAGATTTTCAAAAAAATTATTATCTTATTAATTTATCGATTTATGTTATATTTTACACTGGTCCCAACTCGGGACCAGAAAAATTTATTAATTTAGAGAGGTTATTAATTTATAGAGGTTTTACTGTATTGTAGATATGTGTTCTCTAGGATGATAATTTAAAGAACTTTAAAATTCAAACATCCTATTTGTTGAATGAGTATTTTGGAAAGAAAACAGATTTTGAGCCATATGTGGACATAATTGACTTTAATTAAACTATTTTTAGATGATTTTTTTTCTTTTTATTTTACTTATACGAATGGATGATTTATCTATGTAACATGTTATTTTTATATGTAGACATCTAAATTTTCAAATAAATGTATGTATGATTTTCTCATATAGTATGACATCATACTATGATATGTCTCAATGTAGACATTTGCCAATTGAATGGATTTATATTTCTATCATATTATCATATGGTGATTATCTAAAATCAAGATAATGTTAATATTTGCAAATAGATATCAAGTTTTATAATAATATTTCCATACATTATCTTGATTTATATTTTCAAATATATTAATGGCAATTAAATAAACTTTAATCAAGATTTTTTCCATACTACGATATGTTTCTACTACATTTGAAATATTGAAAGGATTTATATTTCTATCATATTATCGTATATATGTGAAATCTATTTTTTTGGATTCTATGTGATTATTTAGCGCGTTAAAAGTATGTACAAAAATACCACATGCTTATAATATAAGAGATCTTATATATACGATGAACCCAAAAGGTAAAAACCAACTTACTAGGTTCGACGGGTCAAATAAACATCAGAAAAAACTACGATTAACTATACAATGAATAAAAACTAATGTAATTTGCTGAATTTTATCAAATGTAAAATACAGTAGCGTTTTTGCTAAATTGTTTCTTTTTGGATTGAAAAGCTTCAAAAAATGCTAGTGACTATGGGTTACAAACGATGATACGTAAATGGATGAAAAAAAATCCTACACTTATTGATATCATGCTCATTAGCGGAGATAATGGTTTCACTGATACCATGAAGCTCCTTAAAGAAAAGAATCATTTGACAATATTAGCTTGTCGCTTTAAAGCGGGAGGAAAAAACTGTTGGGAGCTGTTCCGCTCAAATGGGAATGGAATGATTTGTTGGAGCAGATTCACCGGAGACATGAAAATTTATGTTGTTTCCGCAAATTCGTGGTAAATCAATGAAGATATCCAAAAGGCCTTTGAAGATATTTCATGTGCACTGAACTTCTACCATCTAGTAGATGAAAGTAAGTAATTTCTTAAATTTGTTTTCTTTTATCTTTTTTGCTGAATTATTTACTAAACGTTTTGATTAATTTTATCAAATGTAAAACACAGTAATGTAGACTAACTATTATGCTGAATTTTATCAAATGTAAAAATACAGTAACCTGACTATGATGAATTTTTTTGCTGATTTTTTTAATGAATTTTACCAAATGTAAAAACACAGTAGCGTGACTATGCCGAATTACTTACTAAATCATTTTGCTGAATTTTATCAAATGTAAAACACAGTAACGTGCTAAATTATTTTTTAAAATTTTATCAAATGTAAAAACACAGTATCGTGAAGATACTGAATTTTTTTGATGTGTTTTATCCAATGTAAAACACAGTAGCGTGACTATGCTACAGCTGAATTATTTGATGAATTATTTTTTGTTGAATTATTTGTTGAATTGTTTTGCTGAATTTTATCAAATGTAAAACACATTAGCGTTTTTGCTTAATTGTTTCTTTTTTTTGGATTGAAAAGCTTCAAAAAAAACTAAAGACTATGCGTTACAAAAGATGATTCCTAAATGGATGAAAGAAAATCCTACACCTACAAATATCATGCTCATTAGCGGAGAGAATGGTTTCACCGATACTATGAAGCTCCTTAAAGAAAAGAATCATTTGACAATGTTAGCTTGTCGCTCTAAAGCGAGAGAAAAAAAACTATTGGGAGGTGTTCCGCTCAAATGGGAATGGGATGATTTGTTGGAGTAGAAGAATAAGAAGAAGAAGATGGAAGGTGGATTGAAGATTGGTATGCTTTGGGATAAAAAAAAGGAGAAGAAGACGAAGAATAAGAAGATTAAAATTGAACCAGGAGTGAGGACATATTTGCTCGAAATAAAGAATAAAATGTGTTTTGTATAAGATAGAACATGCCGGACAGATTTGCTTGTGTCATAATCTAATTTATTATATAAAATAGAACATGCGGTGAGTCTTAGAGAGACATTGTTTTTGCTATTTATTTCTTGTAGATGAAAACCGGATTGTGGATCAAAACTAAAACTCATGTTTTGGTAGTCAATTTTAGTGATCGTTGGTCTGAACATGGTTTTACAGAACACTTGTTTTGACTTTGCCCCTCGTTTTTTTTTTTGGACATTGCTTTTGCTATTTATTTCTTGCCATTTACCAAACTAAGGCGAATAAAGTTGAAATATGTGCGTATACCAACTGAATAATTAAAATGATTTATCCTCGAGATTGAGAAACAAAAGATATGCAAGCAAACCAAAAACATGAACAAACCTAAGATACCTCAAGCTTTTTCTAGCATCTTCAAGCATTCATGGAATTGAGCCTACAACGAAGAAAATTTTGTGATTTAAAGTATATTGTACTGATTTGTACATGTGTTCTCTAGGATGATAATTTAAAGTTTAAAACTCTAAAATTCAAACATCTTATTTTGTGAATGTTATAGAAAACGCAAAAAGGGTTTTGAGCCATATGTGGACATGGTTGAATTTCATTAAGCTGTTAGTTGATTTTGTCTTTTTATTTAATTATTATTCAAACGGATGATTCCTTACTAAAAAAAAGGAAAAATATAAACGCATGATTTATTATTGTAATATGTTATTTTTCAATGTAGACACCTAAATTTTCAAATAAATATTATTTGCTTTTCTCATATAGTCTAAGTGTCAAAGGACGAAAGATGTTTTTCAATAGCATGATAAATGTTTTCCATACTATGATATAGACATTTGACGTATTGGATGGATTTATATTTTTTTCAGTACAATCTATTTTTTTTGGATTCTATATAATTATTTAGCGCGTTAAAGTATGTAAAAATAAACTACATGCTTATAATATATTCAACTTTTTATGGTACTCGGTGGTTTTTAATAGCAATATTAAGATTTCTCATTTATATAAATAATAATTCTTCGTACGTTAGCACAATTATAATTATAGTGTTTCAAACTGGGTGTCAATTCGCCAGCGATAAAAGAATTTTGGTGATTTTACTCCATCTCTTTCCCGACGAGCTCGTTTCCCTAAACTGATATTGTTCATATGTCCTCTAAATGTTCGATAGAATTTTTATCAGTGCTAAGCCAAATATCTTTTTCATTATTAATCGTCATTCCCCACTTTTCGTTGACTTCGACTACTTTAACAACCCAGAGATGGTTATATAACCTTATTATGTCTACAAGATTAGTTAAATCATATATATGAAAGGAGGCTATCTCTCTCCATCATTCCGCCAAGTCAGCATTTTAGGCTATTCTGGAGCTGACACATCAGCTTTCTATCTTCCAATCAAAACATTTCATCAAAATGATTCAGCTTTTATTTTTTACCCATCATCTTTTAATTAGAATTGTCAAATGGGAAAAACACAATAGCCCATGAGGGATGGGCCATATGGATTTGAAAATCTATTTCACAAGTTAATAATATATTTATTATTTAATTATATATATTATTTAATTTTACATATTGATTTCTACTAATACTAACTTATTTTGTTATTTTATGTTTTTTTCAATGAAATTATTTTATTGGTTTAATATACTCCAAAGTTTTTTCCGCTAATTTTTGTAATCTTAACTCAAAATATGAGTGGATAATAGTATAGTGGATTAGCAAATTGTTTGAGTAAGTTTTTTTCTTAATTTTTTTTATCTATATATGACACTGAGGGTGGAGAGTACGTAAGGTCATCAAATTTTTGAGGTTCTATAATCCCAACATTACCATCTATAAAATTGGTTTAGGATAAAGATTGTTTACGGATTGTGTGAATGATGCATTGTTGAGTATGTTGGTTTAAAATGTATTTTAATACTAAGAGTAGTTGTTCATTGCATGAGTAAATGATTAGATAATTAAAAATTATATTTATCAAAATATAACATCAAATAAATCAAAATAAAAAAAAACGGAAAAAACCCGCGGCGTAAAGCGGGTGATCAACTAGCAACAAGAACAATCAAAATAATTTGTTATTAACAACTTTTAAAACAAACCCACGCGTAGCGTGGGTATTTATCTAGTAAAATTTAAAACATAAAACTAAAATAATGTTGAATCATGTAGGCAAGTTAGAATTTCAACTATTTTGAGTGATTTTGTTATTTTTCATTTAATGATTGTGGGGTCTATGATTTATTCATGTAACATATCTAATCTAATTACACAAATACTGTTATACTAATATTTTCTCATATAATTTATTCCTACTATAGTACTATGTTATTTTCTATATGTAACATATGGAATAAATTAAGCCTTTTTACAAATAAAATAAATAAATAAATAAATCGAATAAATTTATACCTCTGTCATATATATATGTACGTGTGATCTATTTTTAACAGGTTACGGTGTGTTTTATTTAGCTATCCAATCACTCACATATTTGTGTGCAAAATTACTTAAAACGTTGTATGTGTATAGGTCATTACGATCGTAAATGTTTGGAATTCATATTATGCAAGAGGGAGACATTGCTTTTGCTATATTCATTTCTTGCCATTTACCAAGCTAACGCGAATATAGTTGACAACAAATTTTATATAATTACATTTTATAAAAGTGCAACGACAATATGTGTGTATACAATTAACTAATTAAATTGATTCATCTTCGAGATTGAGAAACAAAATATATGCAAGTAAACCAAAAACAGGAACAAACCTAAAATACCTCACCAATTCAATCTTGGTCTTCTTCACATTTTGCAAGTTTTCTCCAATCAACCATGGCTGAAAAACTGTGTACATACATATATCCCATATAAACGCGTAAGCCAGTCTCTCCGATCCCAAATAACCAATGAAATACTGCCATCTGTCCGTTAGTCCACCAAAATCTCCATCTGCTCGACCGTAGAGAGACCACAATGCTGATACCAGACACACCGTAGCCCCGGTCAGACCAACTATTGGTGCACCTTTGGTCATCACTTGGCCAAGTTGAGATCTTTGGCTCCGTTTATCATCTGGATCAGCGTCATTGAGCCTTAAAGCCATGTATGGGATTAGAAACGCTGTTTGCAACATGAGATCAACAGAACCAATAATCTACTTTAGAGGGATGCTTTTCAGAGAAACTGAGCTTATTAAATAAAAATTAAGTTGTATTTACTGTTTGTAAGGAACATCATGAGACCCCATAAGACGTCAAGAGAGCTTTTGTATCGATCTCTCTTTCGGTCAGTGTATAGCAACGGAGCAAACATGAGTGTCCAAGCTATCACAAAGTTGAATAATCCTTCAGCCATCTGTTGCAATTTTGAAAACATTTGTCAGCAGGACTTTTTGACAAATACTTTCACACTAATGAACAAAAACCTGATCAATCTTAATGGTACATACCGGGTGAAGAACAGGAGCTTGTAAGAACTGAATACCAGCTGTTCTGTCACAAAGTCCATAAGCAAGAAACTTTCATCAAAGATCAAACAGGTAAACGAAATCAATAAAATGGCAAGATAAACACAGAATCATAAGTAGAACATACCGGAGTTTGTAAGTGGCAAGATAAAGAAGAAATTTAGAGAAAGTCCCAAAAGAGAATTCACTGTCTCTGAACTAATTGCCCAAACTGGATCTCCCTGTTGATCAAAGAGACTATTTTCTAATTAAGAAACCATACAAAATGCATAATCTAAGATAATGCTAACCAGAAGCATATATACATATCATGATAATGTATATAGAGAAGAAGAGCAAATCTCAGTAATAACTTGAAAAATAACAACAAACTCATTCGATTCTGGAAACATTCAAGCAGAGAAATTGAAAAAGTCTCATTCCTAAAATCATCCAAAATCCAAATTACTTTCAAGATTCATCAATGTGAATTCTACATAAACCTTCCAAAAACATTCACATAATCCATTGGCAAGTAAACTCAAGATAAATTAGTAACCACATAGATCTCCGCATGCACCACCATATATCCCGAAACCGGGGTGTTACACTATGACTATGATTCTGACCATAAGCTAGAGATAACAACAAACTTATTCGATTCTCAAAACATTCAAGCAGAGAAAATTGAAATGGTTCTCAATTCCTAAAATTATCCAAATTACTTTCAAGATTCATCATCAATGTGATGATTCTACATGAACCTTAGCAAAATTCACACATACATCTATGGCTAAATTTCAGGAACAATGAATTTGAAGGTAATCAATCACTCACAGGAGCGTAAGGGAGAAGAAAGAGCCATAGTATATACACAGCTTCACCACTCCATAAAAGATACCGAGCGATTCTCCGTACAGAATCATCTTCAACCTCAACAGTCGCCGTCTCCGGTTTCCGACGAGCAGAGCATAAGAAGGAACTGTCTCGTGTTCGTAATTTGAAACGATCCATTGTTGTCTGCCATGGATTGCAGCAGCGATCGACGGCCGAGATTTCTCTACTCCGACGAAAATGGCGGTAAAATTGCGGTGATTTGGTTTGAGAATTGAAGAGGCGGTGACGGAGATATGTCACCGTCGGTGAGGTTATCAGAATCATCGTCGTCCCTTCGCTGACATTAGTCGGAGAAATGATTGTTTATATCAAAGAGAATTGCCAAAACGGCAGCGTATTTGTCTCTTTCTTTGTTGGGACCAAACAACGTCGTTTTACTTAATTCGAATCACACCCTTTTCGAATGGGTTTTAACGGGCCTATTGGCCCACGGCGTTATTACATGCCGTTTCGGTCGGACTCTCTCGCATTGAGGAAATGGCTTTTAAATAGAGCCTATAATAATATTAATTCTTTTTTTTTGTCGGCTATAATAATATTAATTCAAAGGGAAAATTCCCAAAAAAAACCCAAAGTAATTTTTATTTGGACGTTTAATGCCTAATTCTTTTTTATTGGAATAAAAATACCTTATCTTTTTATTTGTAGTCTTAAAATACCTCATATATAAACTATTGGTAGAATCAAACATGCAAGTTAACACCCGTTAACGGACGTAACGGAATTTTTTAACGGCGTGAAATTTTAGTCTCATATATTTTAGTGGTTATATACAATCAGTTAATAAGAAGTTACGTTTATATGTCGTGGCCTATCGGTAACACTTAGCATTGATTGTGCTTCTGCGCTTGGGTTCGATACCACTAGAGGGTGACTTTTTTTTTTTTTTTCTTTTTTTAAAATTTTTTTTCTCTTCCTCCTTCACAAAAAAAACCTAGCGCCGGTGATAATTTGGCTGATCTGATTATAAATTTCGGTGAAGCGTTGCCAGAGTTTGAAGTGAGGAGATTCACGAGATCGGTTTTTGAAGGATTATGTCATATTTATCGTAATTGATTTTCTCACTGTGATTTAAAGCTTGAGAATGTTTTGGATTTTGGTGATGGAGACGTGAAGATATCTGATTTCGGGCTCGAAATGGAGAAACGATAAGATTGAGGTTGAGATTAGAGGAACACCATTGTATAAGGTCTGAACTTTAGGTCTGAGGTGGAGAAGAAGACTGAGGCGGCGGCGCTAGGGTTTCTAGGGAAGGAGAAATAGAAAAAAAAAAAAAAAAAAAAAAAACTATCGAAAGGGTTTTGAACCCTGGTTTAGAGGGTTACCCAACATAGCAAATACCACTAGACCACGAGAGTATTCTCGTAAGTTATTGTAAAGAGATTGTATATAACGACTAAAATATATGAGACTAAAATTTAACACCGTCAAAAAATTCCGTTACGTCCGTTAACGGGGGTTAACTTGCATGTTTGATTCTACCAATAGTTTATATTTGAGGTATTTTAAGACTACAAATAAATAGATAAGGTATTTTTATTCCAATCAAAAAGAATTAGGCATTAAACGTCCAAATAAAAATTACTTTGGGTTTTTTTTGGGAATTTTCCCTTAATTCAAACTAGTTTAGTCATGTTTATTTTTATTATAATTTTCTTTAACCAAAGAAAACAAACTGAACGGAATTTGGTAAAATAATTAATATCAAATATTTTATAAAATTAAAAAAAAAAAATCTGAACCACCTGAATAACCGAATGCCCACCTAATTGTTGTTTTCGTGAATAGTAAATTTAACATCAAATATTTTGGATGATGTTAAAAAAAAAGTTTGTGTGGGCGATTGCTTATGACTTTATAAAGTTATAAACAATCGCACACACGTAATCTTTTTCTTTAAGTAATTTTTTTTTACTAAGACAGTTTACTTCTATCTTATGTAACTATCTCTCTAGCTACAACATTTAGAAACCAACTCGAATATTCGTATTAAAATAATATGGGAATTGATTTTTCAACATCGTCTACACATATAAGTGATTTCTATCACTAAAAAAGACATACAAACTTTGTTTCTTTGGTTACCAATGTTTATCTCCTAAACAACAAAGGAAATCGACGAGAACCTAATTGTTTGGCATGTCTGCTAACAAAACTCATAGCCATCAGATTGAACTGTCTTGTAATATATTTACCATGGAAATTAATCTTGTAAATAAAGATATAATAATATCGAACTCCAAAATAATAGACTGTAATTTATATGATAAAAATAGAAATATATTTGGTAAATAAGATATGGTATAGTTGGTACACACACACAAATATTTATGCCTGACAAACTTCAAATTAAACCAAATTGGAAAACCTATTGAAAAAAATAAAATAAAACTAGAAACAAAAATCATGTGAATTAACGTCATCATTCTGACTGATCTGTATATATAAAGCTATAAACATATGTGTTCTCCAATGTATTCAACCAGAAAGAAGAGAATCTTATACTAATTCAATGGCTACTTTATGTATGGGTTCAGCTCCTATTTACCAAAATGCTCTTATCCATAATTTTCGCCTTCAACGTCCTCGGCGTTTCATATGTAAATCCATGACTAAAACGACGTCGGATGCTAATCCTGTTGACCTCCGTCGACGCTCCGGCAACTATCAACCTTCTTCATGGGACCATAGTTATCTCCTCTCCATCGAGAACAAATATGTGGTAAAGTATTCGTCATTCTTAACGTTTCATTTGATGAGGGTTTTTATCACAAAAGTTGTTACTACTACATCTAAATATTTTTGGAAAAGTGACATGCATGTGCATGGTTTTATTGGATCAATATTATTTGACAAACTATTTTTCTCATGAACTCTGGTTTAGGATATATATATATATATATATATAAAGAACATTTGGTTACACTTTTTTCTGTTAAAGGTTTTATTATAACTAATGGGTTAAATATTTCACATAAATGATGTAAATATATATGCTATTAGATCATAAATCTGATTTTCTTTCTCTAATATATCTCTTAGTAGCTAGTAGTATAAAAGATGACTTACTAACTTGTTATAATATGATGGATACAGAATGAAAAAGAAGTGATAACTAGACATGTCTTGAAGAAAAAAGTGAAGAAGATGCTAGATGATGTAGAGACGAAGAGCCGTCTCGAGAAATTAGAGCTCATCGATGATTTACAAAAACTTGGGGTTTCGTATCATTTTGAGCTAGAAATAAATAACATTTTAACAAATTTTCATCTTGAAAATGGAAAAAATATTTGGAAATGTGACAAGGAAGAAGATTTACATGCAACCGCACTCGAATTCCGAATTCTTAGACAACATGGCTTTGATGTCTCAGAAGGTTAGTATTTTCATATTCGATAAAAACGAAATGAACACTTCTATATATTAGTTTCATTGTATAAATATCATATATTAACCAAAAATACCATTCATTTCAGATATATTTGATGTGATCATCGACAAAATGGAAAGTAATACGTTCAAGAGTGACAATATAAAAAGTATCATCACTTTATACGAAGCGTCGTTTCTCTCCACGAAAACGGATACTAAATTGCATAAAGTCATCAGACCTTTTGCAACAGAACAAATAAGAAAATACGTTGATGATGAAAGTGAAACTTACAACATTAAGGTACGTGAGATGGCAATCCATGCGTTAGAAATACCGTACCATTGGAGAATGAGAAGGCTAGAGACAAGATGGTACATAGATGAATACGAGAAGAAACATGACATGAATCCTTTTTTGGCCGAATTCGCCAAAATCGATTTCAATATCGTACAAAGTGCTCATCAAGAAGATGTCAAATACGTTTCCTGGTAATAGAGACTAATAGAAGCAATTTATATCTCACATTAATATTTTACATATATACTTTCTAATCCTCTCCTTTTAATTATTTGAAGTTGGTGGAAGGAAACAGGTTTGGGTAGTCAACTTCCCTTTGTAAGAGACAGAATTGTTGAGAATTATTTTTGGACCGTTGGAATGATATACGAACCACAATTTGGATATATCCGACGGATCGTGGCTATAGTTGCTGCACTAATTACAGTTATCGATGACATCTACGATATCTATGGTACTCCTGAAGAACTTGAGCTCTTCACTGCTATGGTTGAAAAGTAAGGACTCTACTACTTATATTTTAATCATCTATGTTTCATGATAAATTTGAAATAATAGTGTTATCTAAAATATTTATTTGCAGTTGGGATGTAAATCGTCTCGATGAACTCCCCGAATACATGAAGTTGTGTTTTCTAACATTGTACAATGAAATCAATGCCATGGGATGTGATGTTCTCAAAAATAAAAATATTGACGTCATACCTTATTTCAAAAAATCGGTTAGTTCAAATATTTTTTTTTATATATAAACATTAGAGTTTTTAGTTAATGTTTTATGTTTTTGTTCAAACTAGTGGGCAGATTTATGTAAAGCATATCTAGCGGAAGCAAAGTGGTACAAAGGAGGATGCAAACCAAGCTTGGAAGAATACATGCAAAATGCTTGGATTTCAATTTCTGCTCCAGTAATGTTAATCCACAGTTACTGTGCTTTATCTGACCAAATCTCGGTTCAAATTTTGGAGTCTTTGGTCCAAAAACGACAAGACGTCGTCCGATGCTCTGCCACTGTGCTCCGTCTAGCTAATGACCTTGCAACTTCGCCGGTAAATGTTCTTTCTTTTAACTTCTATTTATGTGTTTCAAATCGCGTATGAGTATTTATAAGAATGGTAATCTTGTAACTCACAAATGAAACCAACGTGAAGCAATTCATATATGACTTGACAATGTAGGATGAATTGGCGAGAGGAGACGTTCTCAAATCGGTCCAGTGTTACATGCATGAGACCGGAGTTTCGGAGGAAGAGGCACGCGCGCATGTGAAGCAGATGATAAGTCACACGTGGGACGAGATGAACTATGAAGCACGAACGGCGGCGCGCAGTTCTTCCTTACTTTCTCGACGTTTTGTGGAAACTGCAATGAATTTGGCACGCATGTCGCAATGCATGTATCAACATGGCGATGGTCATGGCTGTCCTGACAAAGCCAAGATCGTTGATCGTGTCCAAACCTTGCTCGTTGATCCAATCCCATTAGATTAAATTACACTATAATAAGTTTTAATAGTAACAAAACAAGTTATATTATATTTTGTATGGGATGTTGGATTACGAAACTGATTTGAAATAAAAGTATCGATTTTCAAAATTAAGACTTTTGCAAAGTTAACAATTACTTTTATAAACTTAATCATGCATGTAACATTGAACATGGTTACATTCTATTAAACCAATGAATTATATCATTTATTTACAATTTATAGTGGGTTTCTAATGGGTTTTGGCCTTTTCGGTCAAAGTATCTTGTATTGTTTTTTTATCAAGGGTTTTCAAATATAAATGCGAGTAACGATTACAAACCTAAAGTAAAACTTGACTACCTCCTCTGGAGAAGAAATATAGAGCTTGAGCGACAAGTCTATTTCGTGTTGGAAGGTCTCGAAGAGAGCTGCTATAAGGATTTAGCGTGCAAAGCGGCCGAGAGATGTTCCAGATGAAGAGACGGCTTTAAAGCGTGCTAAAGAAATGGTCACTGATTGCAGTAATTATAGGGGATGATCGTCCTCTTACGGGCGGCTCTTTGTAGATGCCTCAAGTTACAAGAGATGCCTCAAGTTACAAAAACGATTGTTGATGTCTTGAAGGATGACAAAGAACGTGCAACGAACTGATGTAGTGTTTTCTCATGTGGATGATGACTGTCTTGCAACTGCTTCAGATGATGGAACTGCAAAATTGTGGAAAAGTGATTGAACACTCTTACAAACTTTTGAAGGTGACTTGGATCGTAGAGTTTTTTCATCATCCATTCGTGAAATATAAATTCAACCGTGGGAAAAACATTATTAATACAAATTATAGAATTTTCTAAAAATGACAGCTAAAATTTCCATAATATAATTACATTTGATAAAACTACAACGACAATATGTGTGTATACCAATTAACTAATTAAATTGATTCATCTTCGAGATTGAGAAACAAAAGATATGTAAGTAAACCAAAAACAGGAACAAACCTAAGATACCTCACCAATTCAATCTTGGTCTTCTTCACATTTTGCAAGTTCTCTCCAATCAACCATGGCTGAAAAATTGTGTACAGACATATATCCCATATAAACGCGTAAGCCAGTCTCTCCGATCCCAAATAACCAACGAGATACTGCCATCTCTCCATGATTCCACCAAAATCTCCATCAGGTCGACCGTAGAGAGACCACAATATTGATATCACACACACCGTAGCTCCGGTCAGACCAACTATTGGGGCACCTTTGGTCATTGCTTCGCCAAGTTGAGACCTTTTGCTTGGTTTATCATCTGGGTCAGCGTCATTGAGGCGTAAAGCCATGTATGGGATTAGAAACGCTGTTTGCAACATGAAATCAACAGAACCAATCATCTAGTTTAGAGGGTTGCTTTTCAGAGAAACTGAGCTTATTAAATAAAAATTAAGTTTATTTACTGTTTGTAAGGAACATCATGAGACCCCATAAGACGTCAAGAGAACTTTTGTATCGGTCTCTCTTTCGGTCAGTGTATAGCAACGGAGCAAACATGAGTGTCCAAGCTATCACAAAGTTGAATAATCCTTCAGCCATCTGTTGCAATTTTGAAAACATTTGTCAGCAGGATTTTTTGACAAATACTTTCACACTAATGAACAAAAACCTGATCAATCTTTATGGTACATACCGGGTGAAAAACAGGAGCTTGTAAGAACTGAATACCAGCTGTTCTGTCTCAAAGTCCATAAGCAAGAAAAATTTCATCAGAGAGTAAACGAAAATCGATATAACCATTCATAGAAACGCAGAATCATAAGCTGAACATACCGGAGTTTGTAAGAGGCAAGACAAAGAAGAAATTCAGAGAAAGTCCCAAAAGAGAATTCACTGTCTCTGAACTAATTGCCCAAACTGGATCTCCCTGTTGATCAAAGAGACTCATTTCTGATTAAAGAAACCATACAAGATGCAATAATCCAAGCTAACCAGAAGCATATACATATCATGATAATGTATATAGAGAGAAGAGCAAATCTCACTAATAAGTTGAAGATAAGAACAAACTCATTCGATTCTCGAATCATTCAAGCAGAGGAATTGAAAAAGTTCTCATTCCTAAAATCATCCAAATTCACTTTCAAGATTCATCATCAATGTGATGATTCTACATGAACCTTAGAAAAGCGCACACATAAATCTATGGCTAAATTTCAGGAACCATGACTATGATTATTAAAACCCTAACGAACAAAACTCAAGAATTTAAAGGTAATCAATCACTCACAGGAGCGTAAGGGAGAAGAAAGAGCCATAGTATATACACAGCTTCACCACTCCATAGAAGATACCGAACGATTCTCCGTACAGAATCATCATCAACCTCAACCGTCGCCGTCTCCGGTTTCCGACGAGCACAGCATAAGAAGGAACTGTCTCGTGTTCGTAATTTGAAACGATCCATTGTTGTCTGCCATGGATTGCAGCAGCGATCGACGGTCGAGAGCTCTCTACTCCGACGAAAATGGCGGTAAAATTTCGGCGATTTGGTTTGGGAATTGAGGAGGCGGTGACGGAGATATGTCACCGTCGGTGAGGTTATCAGAATCATCGTCGTCCCTTCGCTGACATTATCCACACAGTTAAATCGGAGAAATTTGATTTTTTTATATAAAAGAGACTCGCCAAAACGGCAGCGTATGAGGTTTTCTAAAAACTTATAGCAACGACGTCGTTTAATCTACGGGAATTAAATTTTTATAGTGGGCTTTTAAACAGGCCTTTGGCCCACGATCTTATAAATACGCCGTCTCGGTGAGACACTGAGAATTGGATAGTTGCTCTTTTATGGACTGATTGATGGACATCAAAATCTCAAAAGATATTTGGTTGGAAGATATAGATTTTTTAAAAAATAAGGACAAAAACTAAAAAGTAAAACTTGTTGTCACTCAACACCAAATTATTATTTTATACAAAAGGCCAGGTTTTACAACATATAATTTTTCAAGATCCTCCAAATTTCTTTTAAAATTTATCAATGTGATTCAACATGATCCCAAAGTCCCTTACTATAGTGACTCAGAAAAGATTCAACAAAATATAGATCTATGACTATGGCCACAGTTTGATAGTATTACAATGATTTAAACCCTAAGGAATTCAAATAGAGAAACATGGCAATATAACACTATTTTTCATTCATCTTTGCTTCATAAACACTTTTTGAATGATCACTGGCAGTCTGGCACCAATCAATGAAGAAAGATGGTTCGAAACAAATAACATGCAAGAATCTTGCAATATCAAATAATTTTTTTACTATAAAATTTTGCATGTTATTTGTTTCATATTGTTACATTTTTTATGTGTCAAAATATCCATATACCGAAGAATACATCACCAAGTGAACGTTTTTAAATAAAAACTGAATATAATATGCATTGGAACGAGTGGTGATTGTTAAGCCAAGTGAACGTTTTATTAATTAAAAAAAAAAAACTGAATATTATACTTCTCCAAGCTTCAAATGGAGAATAACATTTATTTTGATACGACTAACTCTACCTAAAAGGGCCATGTTTGTTTGCCAACATAACAACGAGGATCACGAGATACACAATACATTTAGAATTTGGAGAAGATAGATTTTGTTTAGATTTCACTTTTTACGTGCACGACTATTCTACCTGAAGGGGCCATGCATTAATTGTTTTGTTGGCTAACATAATAACGTCACCAAATGTAACATGAGAATCACGAGGTACACAAATCATTTTGGCTTTGGATAAAAATAAGTGTGTGACATTTATTAGATTTAGGAGGTGATCAAATAATTTTCACCTATTAATTGGAATATAATTTTCAACATAATTGGGTTGATCAACATCCTTTTTAATGCGACCGAGTGACTCTTACCTAAAAGGACCATGTTTTGTTCGCTAACGTAGTAACATGAGACCCAACATGACACAATAATTGACACGATATCTAAAGAGAAAATTTAAAAAATGTATTCATTTTATTTTGCTGGAAAAAAATCATAAGAAGATATAGTTTTCTTTTGTCATTCATCTAGGATTCATCTTATTTCTCTAAATTTCTACGATTGTATATTATTAAACAATTTACATCAATTGAAAACAAACAATATAATATGATTGTACTATCTTATTTTTGGTAGAATAATGATTGTACTAGAGATAAAAGACGCAAACGCTTACAGTTTATAGAAGATCTAAATCTTAAAACACTTAATATTATGACAGGGTATCATGATAAGGATGCGTATACTACGGTGTGACGTGTGTGCTAGTGTCACCATTCATATTCAAATTTTGTATATTACATGTTGTTGACAAAATAGTATTATTTAGTTTAAGATATATATATACACACAATAACCTAAACATATGGTTAATCTGTAAATATCTCTTCATCGTTTAAGTTTGCATTTGCTTTTAGGCTTACATATTATACTACTATAATTTTCAAATGAGATTACAAAATTTAGCATTTTAATTGGAACTCATTTGTAAATTAGAAGCGCATAACCAGACACAAACGAAAAGAAACCTCATTATTTTGTGTTTTTATATTGCATAATGTTGAAACTCCAATCACTGCAATTAATGTTGGTTTCTATAAATATCTTAAGTTATAACTAAACCAAAACATTTATATTTTTCAAAATTAGTTAGTCCTACATATATGTCTTTTATCAAAATATATTATTTTATGACTCCAATCACTGCGCTTAATCATGTTGACAATGATCACTAGAAACATTTTAACTGGTACTACAACCAAAACATTTATATTATCATTTTTTTATACACAACTATAGATTAATGTTTAGGAAGAATTTAAATTTATATGTTCTTATGTATACAATCTACTCTTTTAAAATATTTGTCATGGTTTTTGAGTTTTAAATGTTTAGGTGTAAAGATCATAATTTGTTTAGTCTACTGGTTTATAATATTCTATTTGTTGTGTCATAACTTTGAATTCTAATCCAAATCTTCATACTGCATGTTGTTGTTGTTGACCAGAAAGAAAATACAGTTTACAAAAACAGCTAATTAAATCGTAGTTTCTCTTAATGGAAAGTTTCCGTCATTTTGTACGACTATAAGAAAATATAGAAAAAATACTTTTGTCTTTTGACAATTGATTGATTATTTCGAAATCATGTAGTATGATTATTATGATGGAGACCTCATACGTGGCATTCTACTAACGAGGTGTGTGAATCAAAAATAATTTAGTTAATATCAGGATTTCCACAAAAACTCATATTAATATAGTATGTGACAGGTAGTAACCTCACACAAAAAAAAATAAAAGGCAAAAATAATTATTTTATTTTTAACTTAAAGTTAACCAATTATGTAAAAAAAACAGAAGAATTTCTTTTTGTCGTCTTCTTAATTCTCTAAAAATGACATAAAAGGAAAAAAAAATATTATAATACAAAATACATGGTAAAAAACTTTTCTCCAGATTTTTAAATTTCTTTTCTTTCTATTTTCTTCTCTTTTTTCTAGGGGTGGGCATTTAAACCGAACCAAACCGGACCGACCCAACCCAACCGAACTCAAACCGATCTAAACCGAACCCAAGCTTAGACTCAAACCATTCGGTTGGGTTTATTCTCAACCCAAATGGGTCGGTTCGGTTCGGTTTTAAACCGAACCGAACCGATAACTCAATGTGTTTAATTAATTAATTAATTAATTATATTAATAATATTATAAATAACTAAATATGTGTTTATTTTTATTTTTATAATAATTTGAATAAATGTAAAATAGATTTAATTATCTCTAAAATTCTAATCCTAAAAAACTTAGGGTTCTCCTTCTAAAAAACTTACAACTTGAACTTGATATTTAATTACTTTATCAATTTCAATGTTCAAACTTTAAAGACAATGAATTTTTTTTGTATTGTTACATTAATTGATTTTTTGAACCGAATTCAAACCAAACCGAATTAAAACCGAACCGAACCAAACCGAACCAAACATAAACTGACTCAAACACAAACCGAACCAAACTAACTTCGGTTGAGTTTGGTTAGAGTTTTACGAAACCCAAATAAACCGAACCGAACCGAACCCAAACCGAACCCGAAGTTAAACCGAAATGCCCACCCCTACTTTTTTTTTTTCTTCTAACCCATACCATTTGTTGTCTATATAAACGTATGTGTTGTCCAGTGCATGTATATAGCCACGAAGAAGCTTAATCTTCTACTAAATCAATGGCTACTTTACGTATAGGTTCAGCTCTTATTTACCAAAATATCCTCACCCACCATATTCGTCTTCGACGTCCTCACCGTTTCGTATGCAAGTCCATGACCAAAACGACGCCGGATGCTACTTCTGCTGACCTCCGTCGACGCTCCGGCAACTATCAACCTTCACCGTGGGACCATTGTTATCTCCTCTCCATCGAGAATAAATATGCGGTACTATCTTCATCATTTTTTAATGTTACACCTAATTTTCACTTGTATTTATGAGTTCTTTTATTAACAGGTTGTTACTATACATGCATGTTTAAACATATGTATATGCAGAGTGAAAAAGAAGTAATAAATAGAGATGTGTTGAAGGAAAAAGTGAAGATGATGTTTGATGTCGAGAAGAAGAGCCGTCTCGAGCAATTAGAGCTCATCGATGATCTGCAAAAACTTGGGGTTTCATATCATTTTGAGCTAGATATAAATGATACTTTGACAGATTTTCATCTAAAAAATGAAAGAAATGTCTGGAAATGTGACAAGGAAGAAGATTTACATGCAATTTCACTCGAATTTCGACTTCTTAGACAACATGGTTTTGATGTCTCAGAAAGTTAATATAATATAATGAAATTACAGTTTCTTTATATCAAATTTTGATGTATATTCAATATCATATATTAACTAAAACGACCGTTTATTTCAGATATATTTGATGTGATCATAGACAAGATAGAAAGTAATACGTTCAAGAGCAACGGTATAAAAGGTATCATTTATTTGTACGAAGCGTCGTTTCTCTCCAAGAAATCGGATACTAAATTGCATAAAGTCATCAGACCTTTTGCAACAGAACAAATAAGAAAATTTGTTGAGGATGAAACTAACAACATTGAGGAACGAGAGAAGGCGATTCATGCGTTAGAAATGCCGTACCATTGGAGAATGAGAAGGCTAGAGACGAGATGGTACATAGATGCATACAAGAAAACACAAGACATGAATCTTGTCTTGGTCGAGTTCGCTAAAATTGATTTCAATATCGTACAAGCTGCTCATCAAGAAGATCTCAAATACGTTTCAAGGTAATACTATATACCGATAAAAGAAATATTTATACTGGTTTTTCGTTGTTATTTATTGTAAATATATTTCTTCTAATCCTCTCTCGTTAATGGTATGAAGCTGGTGGAAGGATACATGTTTGGCTAACCAACTTCCTTTTGTAAGAGATAGAATAGTCGAGAACTATTTTTGGACCGTTGGATTAATATACGAACCACAATTTGGATATATCCGACGGATCATGACTATAGTTAATGCACTTGTTACAACCATTGACGACATCTACGATATCTATGGCACTCTTGAAGAACTAGAACTCTTCACTTCCATGGTTGAAAAGTAAGAAATCTTCTACTTTTTTTTTTCAATCAATTGGTTATCTTGCATACCGTGGCATGGTACTATTCTACCACTAGACCATTGGTGCAGAAATCTTCCTACTTAAATTTCTTAGTTTTCTTGGTATATTACAAAACTTAACTATAGAAGTTATAAATTAATAATTGAATATATATGTGTGTAAATATCATCAAATAACATTTTGTTTTTCATATTATCGTGGTTGTTAACGTAAATATTTTTGAATTCCACCTTTCTATATCTTAAGTTTTCGTTATAGATAAAATGATATGTTGATGATAAATTATAAGAATTTTTATAACATATTTTCATGATTTTTTTAAATGTATTAACAATAATATTATCTAAAGAAATTTGTATATGTATTTGCAGTTGGGATGTAAATCGTCTTGGTGAGCTTCCCGAGTACATGAGGTTGTGTTTTCTTATTTTGTACAATGAAACCAATGGCATTGGATGTGATATACTCAAATATAAAAAGATTGACGTTATCCCTTTGCTCAAGAAATCGGTAAGTTTAATTTGGTTGAAGTATTTTGAATATATTCTCAGTTTAAATATGTTTATTTTTATTCTTTTTTTGTTAAAAACTAGTGGGCAGATTTATGTAAAACATATCTAGTGGAAGCAAAGTGGTACAAAAGAGGATACAAACCAAGCTTGGAAGAATACATGCAAAATGCTTGGGTTTCAATTTCTGCCCCAACAATATTAATCCACTTTTACTGCGTTTTCTCTGACCAAATCTCAATTCAAAACTTAAAGACTTTGTGTCAACACCCACAACACATCGTCCGATGCTCCGCCACCGTCCTTCGTCTAGCTAACGACCTTGGAACTTCGTCGGTAAATGAGCTATCTTCTAACTTAGTGATGTGATTAATGACATAGTATATGAGTGAATGTTTGTTTACGTGTATGTAGAGTGAATTGGCGAGAGGAGACGTTCTCAAATCGGTCCAATGTTACATGCATGAGACCGGAGCTTCAGAGAAAACGGCACGCGATCACGTGCAGCAGATGATTAGTGACACGTGGGACGACATGAACTACGAAACAAAAACGGCACGCAGTTCTTCGTTGCTTTCTCGAGGTTTTGTGGAAGCTGCAATGAACTTGGCACGAATGTCGCAATGCATGTATCAATATGGCGATGGTCATGGATGTCCCGACAAAGCCAAGACTGTTGATCGTGTCCAATCCTTACTCGTTGATCCAATCCCATTAAATTGATTTATATACAAAAATTATTCATACTTTTATAGTAACACTAAAATGATGTACGTCGTCGGTCGTCCTTTCGCTGCATTATTCACCGTAGTCAGAAAAGAAATTGATTTATATGTTGGGATACTCGCCAAAACGGTAGCGTATCGGCTTTGTAGAATGAGAGCAATTGGCTTAACCATTTCCAGTAACAACAGATTTAAAGGTATTTTTCTAAATCACCAAACAGGCAAACACTCAACTAAACTAAGGACTAATAAGGTTTCTGTATTTGCTAGAAGTTTTTGGTCATGAGCTAATGGAAATCTAGGTATCGTGTTAATACGATTAGGCAAGATTTCTTTTATATAAAAAAATTGCTTCTAATGAAAGTTTTGAAGATTTGACATTTTCCTAACCTAGTTGAACTAGTAGTGTCTTGCGTGAATTATGCACTTCCAAGTTTCTTTATGTCATGTCTTATGTGACCATGATTGACTTGATTTCGGCTGCAACTTAAATGCAAAATCTTTTGACCATTTCTCCCCAAAATTTGGAGTAGACGAATATATCGTCTAAGAAGTTGTCATCCAAATTAGCTTTTGGAAACCTTTATAATTATATAGACTAAGTTTGGCATTTTGGCCCACAAATTTGTCAAGCTATTCAAAATGGATAGTGCTTAACTAGGGATTTCAATTAGGGGTATTGCATTATGTCTCGCATACGGCTAGCTACCAGGTTCATTGCCGCATTTTGCCCTATTTGACTACGGCTCGCTACCGGTCAGATATCTAGGACTGCCGCTGTTGACAAGGAAGATGACTTCATTGCCCTCTTATAGAGAAGATCAAATCGCAAATAAGTTCATGAACATTGTTTATACATATCTTGCAATGAACCTGCCACACATGTAGCAATGCATGTATCAACGTGGCGATGGTCATGGTTGTCCCGACAAAGCCAAGACCGTTGATAGTGTCCAATCCTTGCTCGTTGATCCGATCCCATTATATTGATTTTTCACTTTTATAGTAACAACACAAGTTCACTATATTTTGATATGTTGGATTACCAACCTAGTTCAAACAGAATAAGATCAATACAAAAACAACTAGGAATGTTGTTGTGGGTAAAATAACCCAGCCCAGCCCGAACCCGAAATAAGCCTGCCCACAAAAAACCCGAATTCTAAAAACCCGATGGGTTTCGGGTTCTAGTGGGTAAGCCCGAAAAAAACCCGAGCGAGTCTGGGTAACCTATGGGTACCCGAATTTATATTGACTTTTTTTCTTCTTTATTTGGATTTATAAAGATTTATATGTATTTGTATTTTATTATTTTTAATTTTTAATTCTAATACAAAGACAAACAAACAAACTTCCTATTAACTTTTTTTATATAACATTTGAAACTGTAACTGAATTTAATTTAATAATCTTTATAAATTAAATTAGATAAACATTCAATAATCTTTAAAAATTGATTCTCAACAAAAACCAATATCCAGCCTCAAAATCATCACACGCCTACACGTTATCTTCAAATAAAATGTCGTTGTTATTTAACTTACTTTGATAACTCACTTGTCTCAACAATCAACAGAGATTAATTAACACAAAAAATAAAAGTTTGAGGCAAACCATGGGACATGTCGAAAATTGTGTGATAGTTCTCCCAAGAACTAAAATAAAATCTTATTGATTATTGCCTTTGAATCATACGTCATAGGAACAGAGAGTTGTTGGTTTTAAACAACTATCGATGTCCAAACTTAAGCAACCATGGACTTTGCATACATACAATACAATCTTATAACTTAAGACCGACAATGTAAATCTATACAAATTAACATCTATTACAGATTCATTTCGGTTTACCTAAGTTCAATATTCTCATGCGAGTGTTACTGCCAATACAGTGAACCAAATACTGGCAGTAACCAAACCATTAAATCAAGTCGGCTCATAGCAACAAACACAACTACAAAGAGATATACCTATCAACAACAGACGGTAAATCCACACACCAAAACTAATAAGAAGATATATAAGCTACTTATATCACAAATTTCATAAAGTTACGTTATCTTTCAATATAAATCATTAAACCTACAAAATATACTTGCAAAATCTACTTTGACAAAACATTTATGTTCCAAAAGGGAAAAATCAAGAGTGAATATATGTGCAATGAAAAATGCTCGCAGATCCTTTGAGGCTAGTTATCTTAAGGACTATTTTAGTCTAACCTTGACAACCAAAAGAAAACTTTAGTGTTAACGAAATCCTAAAGGCAAGTTATCTAAACGACTATGAACAAAAAGGAACATCCACAGCAACACAGAGTGGCCATAAAGCTCGAGATACTTACCAAACTTGCAGGAGGAGAGAGGAAAAACCCTAAAATAGATAAAAATCATAATCAGTGAAACAAATTGTAAGGGGATAAATCAATAAAAAAAAAGGAGGCCTAATAAGTAACAAGGAGAAGTGATTTAATCTCAATACCTTTGTATGTTTTTCTTGTGCAGCTCTCTCCCCTCCAAGCAAAACCTCCGGAATCACAGTAATACCATTTATCAGATACTATAGAAACACAAGAACACTAGAAAAAGAAGTGGAAACTAAAGAAAAAAATGTGAATGAATGACTAAAAGGATAACTAACTAGGAAACTGCATACGCGCTAACACAAATAAGAACCAATGAAAAACTCTAAAACCTACTTAAGCAACACAATTTCAGCCAATTTTAAACAATAGACAAATACAGATGCAAAAGCTTCACTGAAATTATAGTTTTGCTTTCACATAACTCCCAATAAACAACCATTGTACCTTCTCCTGTGTGCCTTTAAAGCATTGAAAGATGTTAGGGGTGGCTCTAAGCATTGGTAGATGTCCTGGAGAAAAACAACATCAGGCCCTTGAGAGACCAGAAGAGATAATAAAGCATCTTACGATCCACAAATGATATTCACAGAGCTTCCATAGAATGGAAAAAAGATTCAGAATGGCCCTCTCCTTATTAAAATGAAAAGTTTCGAAACATGACTTCTACAATGAGTAAAGTTGCAAACGATTACACAGCAGTATAAAGAAAGAAAGCGCCATTAGCGAGTTGTCTTACAATAGAGAACCAGTAAAGTCCCCTGAGAATCGTCGGTAATGAGAACTCCACCCATGTCGACATTGTAACCAAAGCTCTCTCAGGCAGCAGAAGGAAGGTAGAGAAAATTCAAAGATTAGATCCTTAAATTGTAATTAAGATGTGTAATGTACAGATATCTAGGACAACAGCATTTCCTGATATAACAGAGAGAAAATGGCAATGTGGTTTCACTTGCCAGTGATGAATGGGTGAGCTAATGCCTGTGACACAGTCAGTCTCCTCTCGGGATCAAGGATGAACATTTTGTCCAAGAGATCCCTGAAATGAGCTAACATCTTGGGATCCTCACCAGGGTAACCTTTAATGATTGAACCAAAATCTTTCGGCTTTACATTTACGATCATTCTTTTTATCAGCTGAAAAGGAAAAGTAACTATTTTACTCACCCTCAATTGGTTTTCAAACTGCAAAGTGCCCGACAAATATAAGGACTAGTTTTTTACCTTTCCACTAACGGTGTCTTCCTCTGTAGCATAAAAGTTCAAGTCATGATCAAAGTGCTGATCAATAAATGCTCCCTGTTAAACCAAATAACACAAAAATTAACTTCTCTTAAACATACAACTTGATCTCCACCATACATGTGGATTTCCCTTTTTCCATAAGGAAAGTTGTGAATGTCACCTGATTTTGATCAGTTTTATTGCTTACCTTGCGGAGCATCTTTTTAGGGAAGGGACCTTTCAGTTCCATATGAAGTCGCAACATATCATTGTTTGTGGCGCCAGGGAAAAGAACTTTTCCACTATAAAGCTCATACAGACAGCAGCCAACAGACCATATATCCAACGGATGGTCATAGGTGAGACCCAGAACTGCAATGGAAAGAATAGAGACTCAGTCACATATTCTTCACCAATGAAAAGTCCTCTTCACAATCCAAAATATGATACTTACTAATTTCAGGGGATCTGTAAAAGCGACTAACAAGATACGGTGTAACTTCGTTTTTGCCAGCAAACATTGCATTACCAAAGTCACAAAGCTTTAACACATTTTTCCCCTCGTTGACCTGGACAATCAAAGACCAACTGTTAGAAAGCTAGCGAATCAAGTAGGAGAAAACCAATGAAAAGTATGACTGACCAGCATGTTGTCAGGTTTTATATCGCAGTGAAGAACCCCACAATTCTTTAGATGTTTAAGGGCAATGAATAGCTGCTTTGAATAAGCCCTAACAGCAGAGAGTTGGAGACCAATGTTGCGACCAAACTTCTTCAAGACCTCACGAAGATTCAAATGGAGCGACTCAAACACCAAGCAAAGGTGATTACGGTACTTAAAGCTTGAAAGAAAACGAACACAGTGGCGCCTGTCCTCTCGGTCAGCGCCAGCCAGCTTCTTCAATATTTGAACCTCAATCTTGCCAGCTTTATGCCTAAACAAAATGTGATACAGTAATCAGCCACAAAAGCATAGAGATGATAAATTAGATATCGCATAAGAATTCGAAAAGTTAGTTGGGGCCTAGAGAATGCACCACCTACATCGTCTCATTGTTACGAATAATTTTTATAGCCACCTCTTCAGGTTCAGCTGGTCCAGCTTTCAAGTCTTTCGCACGAACCACAGTAGAGAAGACACCTTTTCCATGAGTAGCAATGACTTCATATCTACCATCAAGTAACTCGCCAAACTGATAGCCTAAAAAGGAGAGGAGACTCTATCTTTAACACGAGAAAATAAAACGTAAAAATGCTTTCACCTTTCACGATTGAAAAGTAGAGAGAAACACACTTACTATAATAACCCTCTGCATCATCCCAATTATCATGAAGCCCGCTCCTCACCATGGGAACACCATCACCTTTCCCTCCCTAAAAGAAGTAGGTTTAATATAAGGAGAAAAGAAAATATTAAAAACCCTCACACAGCAAACAAAGATTTTCCTCAAACACTAATGAAAAAGGGTTTCATGATGATCAAAATAGTACATCAGAAGGTTAGTAAACAGTACAAATACAACACAGTCAGACGATATGAAGTAGTTAAGTTAAATACATACCACTTTCCGAATACCAGCTGGGGACTCTCCAAAGATATCATCATCAAACATGTCAGCTGATCTTTCACTCTGGACAAATAAAATTATATAAGAATATAAGATCATCATCACGTATACATATATACCGATAGTATAAACATAAAACCAAGAATTACTCACAACCACACATGACCACCAATACCAAAGAAACAATCAAGGTTTCCTTTGCTAACGCACCTTCGGGCTACCTTCACCAAGCCCCGCTGGAGCTTGATTCTTCTCTGAGTCTGAAATTTGAAGTATAGTAGGTGGCCCACCGACTATTAATGATGCCTTGTTAGCGTCAGTATCAAAGTCCAAGTTAGTTTTGGCCTGACCAACATTAGCTGCTATGACAACTGCAGGAGAAGTCGAAACTGGAGCACCAGTTTCTTGAACAACATCTGCCACAAAAACAGAAGAATCACTGGGAATGCCTCGATGCTAAAAAACTCAAAACAAGTTTTTACAAGTGAACGTGGGAGAGTATTGTATGGAGAAAGACATTGTCTGTGAGAAACCAGTGAAATCTAATGAAAAGAAGTTGCAGCTTTTCTGTTAAAGAGCCATTCACATATACCACGAGTAGAAAGGTGAAAACCTCATATATGAAGAAATCAGAGTCATGAAGTATGGTGATCACAATAAAGTCTGAATGAATACCTTTCCCATTATCCTGAGTTAAAAGTTCATTTTGCTGCTCGGGCTTCTTCTTATGTTTCTCCAGTATGGCTTCCATTCGCTTCCTGCTCTCCTCCTTAATTCTATTTAGTACTTCTTCTTCTTCTTCCTCAGGAGATTTCCACGTAAGTCCTTCGTCATTATCATCTTGGCCATCCTCATTTCGGGACCTGATCACAAAATAGTTAAAATACCCAAAAGATTTCTGATCAACAGCAAAATATTCACAATGATGAGGTTATTGAAAGATTACCTTTCATCATTGCCCCACTTTTCTTCTGACTTATCACCCTTAGAATTATGGGCCTTCGAAGAATTTGGCTTTCTCATTTCTACGTCATCTACCGCATCATCTCTTGAATGTCTAGACTGTTTGTGCCTCATCTCACCATAGTCCACATCACTACTTCTGTACTTCTCCCTATCATTCTGGGTTTCTCTTCCTCGCTCCCAATCTTTTTCACCCTCCCTTTCCTTTTCTCTCTTCCTCTCTCTGCTGTTATACCTGGTTCTATCTCTACTCCTACCTCTTTCATTATCTCTATCCCGTAAATAATCTCCTTCCCTATCCCTTCTCCTATCCCTATCCATGCTGCGCTCTCGTTCTTTCTCTTTTCGTCTTTCACGGCCAGACTCTATCTCCCTTCTCTTCTCTCGTTCTCTTTCCCTCCTCCGATCACTATCTTTCTCTCTCCGCTTACATGCTTCTGAATCCCTATCTCTTATGCTTCCCTCCCTGTCCATATCTCTCTCCTTACTTCTATCTCTTTCCAAGACATCTCGGCTATATTTCCTGTCATTTTCCTCATATCGCCCACGTCGATGATATCTTTCCTCAGTCCTACCAGAGTCAACTCTGTCATGATGATAATCCCTACTAGAATCACGATGTCTTCCTCTGTCCGAAAACTCATCCTCCACAACAATCCTTGATCTTGACATTTCTCTCTCCCGATCATGTGACTTAGATCTACTCCGAGCACGGACTTCATTAGACTGCCTTCTATTTGACGGAGACCGGTTACTAGTCTTACGCTTCTCTTCAGAGCTTTCCGAAGAAAACGAACTCTTGCCATTATCATAACTTATCTTACTAACCCTCTCTGAAGGACCTCTAGCATCTTTATCCCACCTCTTATCCTCCCTTTCAGATTCACGATTTAGAACACCATTAGAACTCTCCTCTTCTCCTTGACGCCCTTTTTTCCCAAATGGAGGCTACAAGAATCGCAAAAAGATCTTCAGAAGTCAGAACACTTATCAGAAGAGAAATAAATGAGACTGAAAATGCAATAATATACATGAAAAGAAAAAAAAGGAAAAGAACATCTACACAAAACCAGTTCTTACAAATCATAGGAAAGCCATCAGTCTCCATTGAACGCCTAGTGCAAGTGCTTTCTTACATATCAGGTTATCTAAAGAAAACTCTCAAAGAGCAAAGCTTTATCATCAATTCAGCTTCATAGAGAAAAATCAATCAAACCAATATCGAACCCAAATCCACCCCTCTGATCCCACAATCCAAACAGAATTTAGAAGAAAAAAGACGTAAGAGAGGGATTAGAACAGACCAGATTATTATCTTCAAATTGAACGGATTTGATTTCGCCTAACTCGCTGTCAGAATCTGCCGTCTTTATCAAACCATCACCAATCGCATCTTCTTCTAAAATCTCCCCTTCCTCCACATCCTCCTCACCGCCGTTACTAACACCAATTGGAACCGCCGGAGTAACATCCACCATCTCTGTCTCATCGCCGGCGGATGGAATTTCATCGTCGCGCTTCTTATCTCGGTGATGGCGATGCCTGTGGTGATGATGCTTGTGATGACGGTGCTTGTGCCGCTTCGATGATTTTTCAGTCTCGTCGGACGAGGAAGATGAACGGTGGTGCTTGCGGTGGTGAGATTCGATTTGCTTATCATTCGCCATCAGAGAGGATCGTCGAAGTCGAAATCGAAATTAGGGTTAAGGGCTCAAGAAATTTTGGTTAGGAATCACGACTAGACTTGCTTCTAACATCTTTATAATTTATTTTTTTATAAAGGGTGTGTTATGTAAATAAGACACACGTGGCATCTGTGTATTCTTTTATTTAAGGCAACAAAATTGAATTAGATCATAGAAAAAAAAAATAGAGGTTGATCAAATTATTTCTTTCATATAAATACTGATTCTAACATAAGTAATTAAAAGATTTTTTACATATGTAGATAAATTTTTATATAGTTTTATGAAACTTTTTTTTAAAAAATTGGTATAAAAAACAATTTTAAGATTAGAGTCCATATTACTAGTGCTACATTTGATATGCCATATTTTAAATCTTGAAACTCCTACATACAAATCAGTAAGACAACGATATTTTTCGGTATGGTAGAAATCAGGAAGACATTTATATACTATTTGCAATAAAAATAATTTTATTTTGTATTTTATAATAAATTTATTTCAAAATCTTAAAAAAAAATTGAGTTTGGCCCCTTATCATGTGTTAGCCTAATGGGATCATAAACAATTTAGCAAATAACAAATGACGAGTCATAGACAAAATTTAGACTTCAGAGTTCGTTTTGACAAGAGTCATAATCTAAAATGAAAGTTTTAGCAAATAACAAAAATTATGAATCTTTATTATATCGCCAAACATTACGTATAGAATGGATCGTTGCACCACATTATCACTAACAGAATGAGAAAAATGTCATTTAAATCATCAGTTTGCCATTTTCGTTGGTTTAAAGCATGAACTCTGGAGCTGGTGATTTAAATCCTCATTTTATGTAGATCTGATGATTTAAATCCTCAATTTTATGTTGACTTTTAATTTAATCACGAATTCTCGTTGACTAAGCCAATTGAGGCACATTGTTAACTGGCTAAACGGAGCAATCGAACGAAGAGAAAGATGGAAACTATGTTGGTGTAGAAGAAAAATTATGTGATGGCTTCGAAGTGCCAGTTATGCGATGACTTCGTCTTATTGATCCGTTTAGCCAGTTAGCGATGTGCCTCAATTGGCTTTGTTAATGAGAATTCATGATTGAAATGAAAATCAACAAAAGAATAAGGATTTAAATCACCAGGTCTAGAATTCATGATTTAAACCAACGAAAATGGTAAAGTGATGATTTAAATGACATTTTTCCCCTAACAGAATCCGCATCAAGCTTTAGAATGGATTTCTCTTTTTTTTTTTTCATCTTAGAATGGATTTCTCATGACACGCCAATATTTATTTTTCATTAGTTTTATGGTTCTTCGATTTCTTCTTCGGTATCATCTTCGATTTCTTCTTCGGAATCTTCTTCGGGCTCATCTTCGAGTTCTTCTTCGGTTTCATCTTCAAGCTCTTCTTCGGGTTCAGTTTCAAATTCTTTACCATCCCACACGTCATCTTTCATCGCACATTTTAAATGAAAGGCAATACCTGGACAACGTGAGCATGTAAAAGCTCCATGGGAGCAACTAATCTTTTGGTTGCAGATTCCATATTTCCAATCTCCGGGACCAAGACGAGAAGTGCGAGAAATATTCAAGTGCAGCTTCTTCTTTGTGTTGAAGTCTTCCCTCCATTAAAAATTTGGGCTGTTATTTAGTTGTGGACCTTGAGGTGTTATTGGTTTATTAATTTGTAAATCCATATAGAATTTGAAATTTTCTATTAATTATGAAATCAAGATATATGGATTTTGAAATAACATGTGTTTACCCATGGATTTGAATCCTTCTATTTTCCTCTTTCAATTCCATTCAAATCCATTTAAAACATAATTTGGATTCTCAAATCCAAAAACAAATGACTAAACGAATAACATAGGAATTTAACTAGTATTTATAAATGATAGAACCAATAACACATGATTTTAATTAAGATTTTAAAATCAATGATTGAATAACAAATGATTTTTGTTTGGATTTCTAATTCCTTATAAATCCATGAACCAATAACCCCTCCTAAGATTGCAATACTGATTTTTCATTGTAAAAGTCTTAAACATTTGGCTCTCCCAAATGTTCTAAACAATAGTTTGGGCTTTGTTTTTCCCAATTATCAAACATATTTATGTTTTATTTATGAATAGGGCTGTCCATATTAGAACGGGACCTTGTCTTTACCTGTATTCGTCTCGGGTTTTCTAGTCCCATATCCGCTCATATAATTACTTGTTTTGAGACAATGTAATGTATTGACTATGTATCAACTTTTAAATATATATGTACGTATATATTATGCATATGTAAGACGTACAAACGTTTATATACACCATTGTTTCTTCTAATAGTTCTCACAAATGTTTAGGCATTGGAGAATAGAAGAACAAACGAATTAGAGATATCTAACACAACAATGGTGTGGTCATGTGATCAGATTGTTGAGAATATTCATATGGCTGTTCATATGGTGGCTCATACTCGTGTCCTTCTTCTCCTCCATGGCCATTGGCGAGATCTTCAACTTCGAGAATCTCAACCCTCCGTTTCATCTTCTTTTGCAGTTTTACTGCAACATCCGATGGTCTAAACCGTCCGCAAAGGATTACTTGACGTTCTTTTTTGTTGATCATGTGTGTATCAACTTCTTCATAAAAAGTACCCAAAACACATATTAGTATTAATTTTTTCAATAGTTGCTCTATATAATGTTTATGACAAATAAAAATAAACCAAAATGTATGTATTAACATTGAAAATTAAGGAATATGATTCTTTTACGATAAAATTATGACAATATCAACAAATAATGTGATATGCGCTTCTCATTTTAGATTTGGTGTTGAATATCTAAATTTCGCAGAAACCTCCAACTAATTTACGTGGTGAAAAGGTCACGTTCGTAAAGCATTTTCTATAAATCCACCGCGAGTAAACCTACATAAAATCGTGCATATAGTAAAATCGCTAAAATTATAACGAGAATACCCATTTAACCTTATATAGCCAAGAAAAATGTATCCAAACGAAAAAATGAACTTTCGAAAATTTACGGTCTTTTTTTTTTGTTAAATATTCCTAATTCAATTTCGCAAGAAGATAAAATTTTCAGGTTTTCCAATCCAAAATATTCCCCTTGAACTTTAAATCTTATTTTTCATAACATCCTTCTTGCTCATTTCATTCCACATATTATTCTATATAACCAAAACATACCAACCTTTCATATTGATGATAATCCTCCTTGCTTTTCTACAACAAGCATTGCAATCCAAGTTAATCCGCATCACAACACAACATTGCTTCTGCATTTCACCACCATATAACCCAAAACATACAAAATTGATCACAAATCCAAATAAACTATTATTCTAACAAAAGAAAAAGAAAAAAACCAAACCTTTTCCGACATGAGACGAAAGAACAATGTTGTATAGTATGTTTTTGGTTCTTGAGAAAACAATAATCACACTTATAAATTAAGATTTTGGAATCTGATTCTCTAACTTAGGTAGAGCAGAGAAGATATATAAGAAAACTGGTTTTGTTATGTTACCTATTATCTATTGAGAAGCATCTAATTTTTCTTTGTTTCTAGATGGTTTAACGTAAACCGGAGATTCACATAAATTAACCCGGGTTTAATTAAATATCCGGTTATTAAATTGGTAACTGATACAAATGTTAGTGAAGTCGCTCAACGAACTTCGACCTCGTCTTCTCCGTCCACTTCACTCTCTCTAAAATCTCTCTCAGATCTCTCTCTCTCTCTATCTCTGTGATTCAACAATGGCGGTTGCTTCATCTTCGTTTCTATCGACAACTTCACTCACCAATTCCAAATCCAACATTTCCTTCGCTTCCTCAGTATCCCCATCCCTCCGCAGCGTCGTTTTCCGTTCCACGATTCCGGCGACTTCTCACCGTCGTTCAATGACGGTCCGATCAAAGATTCGTGAAATTTTCATGCCGGCGTTATCATCAACCATGACGGAAGGTAAAATCGTGTCCTGGATCAAAACTGAAGGCGAGAAACTCGCGAAGGGAGAGAGTGTTGTGGTTGTTGAATCCGATAAAGCAGATATGGATGTTGAAACGTTTTACGATGGTTATCTTGCTGCGATTGTCGTCGGAGAAGGTGAAACAGCTCCGGTTGGTGCTGCGATTGGATTGTTAGCTGAGACTGAAGCTGAGATCGAAGAAGCTAAGACTAAAGCCGCTTCGAAATCTTCTTCTTCTGTGGTTGAGGCTGTTGTTCCATCTCCTCCTCCGGTTACTTCTTCTCCTGCTCCGGCGATCGCTCAACCGGCTCCGGTGACGGCTGTAGCAGATGGTCCGAGGAAGACCGTAGCGACGCCGTATGCTAAGAAGCTTGCTAAACAGCATAAGGTTGATATTGGATCCATTGCTGGAACTGGACCGTTTGGTAGGATTACGGCGTCTGACGTGGAGACGGCGGCTGGAATTGCTCCGACTAAATCCTCTGTGGCACCACCGCCTCCTCCTCCTACTCCGGTGGCGGCTAAAGCTGCTACCACCACCACTAATTTGCCTCCTTTATTGCCTGATTCAAGCATTGTTCCTTTCACAGCAATGCAATCTGCAGTATCTAAGAACATGATTGAGAGTCTCTCTGTTCCTACATTCCGTGTTGGTTATCCTGTGAACACTGATGCTCTCGATGCACTTTACGAGAAGGTGACTTTGAATGAAACATATACACACAAATTGTTTTGGTGTTATATACTTGTATTGTATGAATCTAATGTTTTATCACTGCTTTTGTTTACAGGTGAAGCCAAAGGGTGTAACAATGACAGCTTTATTGGCTAAAGCTGCAGGGATGGCTTTGGCTCAGCATCCTGTGGTGAACGCTAGCTGCAAAGATGGGAAGAGTTTTAGTTACAATAGTAACATAAACATTGCAGTGGCGGTTGCTATACATGGCGGCTTGATTACGCCTGTTCTACAAGATGCAGATAAGGTAAGCAAATGCAATGAAGTTGTAGAAAGTAGCTAGCTTGTGGTTGAATTAACACACACTTAGTATTTGGCTGGGTTCTGTAACTGAATGTTTGAGTCATGCTGGTTGGTTTATAGTTGGATTTGTACTTGTTATCTCAAAAATGGAAAGAGCTGGTGGGGAAAGCTAGAAGCAAGCAACTTCAACCCCATGAATACAACTCTGGTACTCTCCTTTAATAAACTGTTAAGATGTTGTCTGCTGCACATATTTCAGGATTGTTATTAAAGATTGTGATATATGTATGGAATGCAGGAACTTTCACTTTATCGAATCTCGGTATGTTTGGAGTGGATAGATTTGATGCTATTCTTCCACCAGGACAGGTATATGAAAGAAACTTGAATTGCCTCTTCTATGATTAGTGATTACAAGCAATTACTTGATCTTTGTTATACTCAAATCTCTAGGGTGCTATTATGGCTGTTGGAGCGTCAAAGCCAACTGTAGTTGCTGATAAGGATGGATTCTTCAGCGTAAAAAACACAATGCTGGTAAGTTTGATTTTGACTTCACATGAAACAAAAACTGATGGATCATATTTAAGAACCTGCCTGATGGGTTTGGTGAATCTCTTTGATTTAGAAAGTCGAAAATCGATTAGCTTAAGAACCTTTGGCTTTGTTGTTGTGTTTGCAGGTGAATGTGACTGCAGATCATCGCATTGTGTATGGAGCTGACTTGGCTGCTTTTCTTCAAACCTTTGCAAAGATCATTGAGAATCCAGATAGTTTGACCTTATAAGACGCCAAGCGAACACGGAAAGACAAAAACGCCAAATTTCCTGAGCCGATTTTACTCAAGTAAATTTTTTAATCTTCATTGTTCTTGGTCCTTGTTCTACTTCTTTTGCATCTTCCTTCACTTGTGTTGTGTCAGTGTCTGTATTTTTGTTTTCAAGAATCATCATTTTGGATTTTACACAATTAATTTCCTTATCAGAATCAGACCACCGGCCTTAATAAAAGAGAGTTACTAGACCCGGCCCATTATCTGATGGCATATCTGTAATGGGCCTTATGGTCTATTTAGTCCAAATGTTAAGATAAGTGCCTTAAAGATTGTGCCCCATAAATCTCTCAGATTTTGTAGAACGAACTTCTTTTGGGTTACAAATTTAGACATATCAATTAAGGCCAAAATCCAACATACCACACCGTCCAATTCTTGAAAAGAAGGTTCAATCGGAAATTGAATTATGGTCGTAAACCAATACTAATAAGTGAAAGTTCATTGTATATTTGGAAAAGAATAAGTTAGCAATAACTTTTCATATATATATGGATTGCAATGGTGGAAGTCTAGAACTTTTTATTTTTTGAATAATAATTTCAGATTCTGATATGAAAATTTGCTTAATGATTCTGATCTCTGGGATGAAATCAATGATAATATTAGATTTTAACATTAACACAAAAGCTAACCAAAATTAAAGATCAACAGTTCCTGGAAAAAAAAAACAATTCTTACAAACTAATCTAAGCCATTTACCCTTACTAAAAACATTTGATTTTTCTAATCCTAATAACTTAACAAAATATATAGATCCTAAAACCTATCATCCAATAATAGAGAAAAAAAAAAGCGAGGTAAAACGCTTGACAAAACGCCACCGTTTCGTTCCCCGCTATTTTTTAAAAAACCCCGGAATATTGTTTACTCCGCCGGTAAAAACTCCGGCCGCCATGAAAACAAATCGCCGGTATCTAAACAGACATCGGAATATTCGAAAAGCCCATCATCACCCAAATCGCAAGATCCGAAATCCGTAACATGATCCTCAAACCCACATAACTCTCCAACCTCTGATGATTCCGACGAGGCTCGTACCAATTCCATCACCGTCTCCTCCGTTTCCTCACACGACGGAGGAAGATTCAGCGGTAGAGGCGGCGGTGGAGGTAAACCCAGCTCGTCGTCAGAAGCTTCGAAAAGATACCCAAGATCCGGCTGAGTTTCACCGTCACCGGAGCCTTGCACCAGCGTGTTCGATAACTCATCCTCCAAACTCTTCATCACCGAGTCAAGATCTTGAATCACTGGGTCAAACCCCGAGTCATGGAATAAATCCTCTCTCAACCGCTTCACGTCCGGCGAGTCCAAGCCTAACTCGTCTCTGACTCGTTTCTTCCCGACCGAGTCAGTCCCAGTTAGCCTCTTCTCCAATAAATCCTCCATAGCTTAACCGATACGGTTTATCTCTTTGGTTTTAGATGGTATAGTTTTAATGAGTGGCAATATTGTAATTAAGTGTGAGATTAGGGTACAGAATCGGAAGAAGGGAAACACGAGATTTTATAGTGGATACACAAAGAGAGAAGATATAAAAAAAGTCGGTAAAGAGAGAGAAAGCGCGTGAATTCAAACGCAGACATTGGCGCGTGGAATAACGAATCGTTTGGGCATCACGGATCTCTCACCTTCTTTTTTTTTTCTTTCTGATTGTTATTTTATATTTTTTAAATCTTTTGGTTTAATATTTGAAAACGTCGTTTTCTAATTTCTGAACGTTATTAATTGGCAGTGTTCAAAAAAGCGCTAGGCGCTAAGCGGGCGGCGACCCTCCGCCTAGCGCCTAGAACGCCTGATCGGGGCCTAGGCGATTTTTAGGCGGTTTAGGCGGAATTTCAATAAATACTATTATATATATATAATTATATATATAACATAACATAATAAAATAATCTGAATAAAACTACTTCAAAAATAATAAAATAATAATTAATGTTTACTAATAAAAGTGTAAAACATAAAATAAAATAGAATAAACAATAAATTTGAGTTTTAAAAAAATAAATAAACTCTAATGATGTTTCTAATCGTCATCTCATCACCCAATCTCCTTCTATAAACCATGCTCATCATCAGACTCAAAATCAACGTTAATGTCTTCGCCATCATCATCAGATTCATCAAGCTCCCTAACCAAATCTTCATTTGTGGGTATGTCTTCTAGTTCCACATCAGCATCTTCAACAATCCAGTCTTGAGCATGAGCAGCAGAATCTGCAACTAGTATGTCCACATTCTTCTCCTTTTGCTTCTTTCTTTTGGCCAACAATCTCATGTTGAATTGGACATAAACAAGATTGTTCAACCGTTTTGTATCAAGTTTATTTCGCTTTTTGGTGTGCACCTAATAAAATTTAACAAATGAGAGACAAGTCCACAATATTTGTTATTTATTAAAAACATTTCTCTTGCAGTTTGAAGTACATACCCCTTCAAAAGTACTCCAATTACGCTCACATCCTGATGAACTTGTCGTCAAAGACAAAATCTTTTTTGCCATTGTTTGTAGTTTGGGAACTTCAACTCCATAAAAGTTCCACCATTGAACTGAAAATACATAAGTTTAGTTTATTAGTAAACTGTACATGGAAAATATTCAGAACTAAAAAAAATTAGAAAACATACCTGGATCATAATTTTCATCATTCTTGGAACATCCTTTAATGGCGGTTGGATGTCCAAAGTTTCCCTCTTTCTTTGTATACTTTGGAAGTTCAGTGTTGATGACAAATGTTTGAGTATTAACATCGTTCGGAAAAAACGCATCAACACACTTGAAAGTAGCAGTAATGATATCTCGGTCGAATTGGATAGTCGAATCCTTATAAAAATAATAAGGATTCAAAAAATATGCCATCCAATGAAGAGGACTATCAAGTCGATCTTTACCCTTTTCATCAATGATACCAAGTATTGGTCTATAATTCTTCTCATGATTTCCTAGTGCCTTACATATCTCTTTCTTTGCCTCTTCTAACTCTCCATGTAGAAAACCCATTGTAGGCTTTTGATCTCCATCAACCAATCTAAGTACGCTAACCAAAGGTGCAAAGACTTTCAAGCACGTTTCCACACCATCCCAAAATTCCATACTCGTTGCTGTGTTACGGGCTGCGAGTCCTTTAACATGCTTTGCCCATTTACATTGTTTCCATTGATTGCTAGCAAACATCATCTTTAAATTTTCTTCCTTCTCTACCAAACTTTTCAAAGTAAGAAAAGCCGATGCAAATCTAGTTATTCCAGGCCTCACAATATCTCTTCTCTTGGTAAAACTCCTCATCATGGACAAGGTCTGGTGATGGGCGTATATAAAAATGGTAAAAGCTTTGGCCATTTTAATTGTTTCTTCAAACATAGCAAGTTTAGAAATGCCTTCTACCATCAGATTTATTGTGTGAGTTGCACAAGAAGTCCAAAATATGGTGGGTCTTGCCTCCTTTAACAACTTTGCAGCAGCCATGTTGTTAGTGGCATTGTCCGTTACTACTTGAACTACATGATCTCCACCTAATTTTTCGATGCACTCATTGACGTATGCAAAGATATATTCACCTGTATGGGAATCATCAGAGCAATCTTTAGAGGAGAGAAACATTGTACCTTCTTTGCAGTTGATACACAAATTCATGATTGACCTTCTTTTTCTATCCGACCAAGCATCTGTCATTACGGAACATCCATTCACTTTCCACTCATCTTCTTGTTCTTTCATCAAACCTTTCACTCGATCAACCTCTTCTTTTAACAAAGGCTCCCTCAACTGATATTGACTAGGTGGAGTAACACCTGGTCCAAACTGTCCAGCAGCTTCAAGCATTCTCTTAAATTCATCATTTGCAATAGCATTGAAAGGAATGCCATGAGAATACACCCATCTAGCAACATATTGATGTACCGCATGTAATCTTTCTTTTGCAATAAGATTCTTGATATGTTGTTGTTGTGGTGTCAATATTGGACCTTTAGGAGTTTCAGGACTGATGCCTGAAGTAAATCTATCCATAGGACCAAGCATGCGAGCACTTTTGTTTGCTCCCATTCCTTCTACTTCAATTACTTCGTCATCCTCCTCTCGTTTTCCATCAACATTTACCATCTTTCGAGTTTCCAAATCTGCCATCCGAACTCTTTTCTTCTTGTTTTGTGCTTCTAGAATTGCTAACTTGCACTTTTCTTGGTCTTCTTTCTTAGAGTTTGGACAAGCTGCAACATTTCCTTGTATTCTAGCAACATGTTGCTTTAGTCTATATATTCCTCCTGAAAACTCCTTTCCACATAATTTGCATTCCATTTTGTCCAAATTGTTGGGATTTATCAACATGCCAAATTCCCAACCAACATCATTTGATTTTCTCTGCAAATTTGTAGTCTCTGGAACTGATGTAGAATCTGTTGTCGATGACGAAGCCATAACCTATAGACTTGAAAGAAAAGAAACCAGTCAACATAAAAAAGACGACCACAAGTTTGATAACTAATTAATTAATAAAGAACTTGATTACTAGCACTAAAGCTAAGAGTCACGAAGATTTGCACACACAAAAAAAAAGCTAAGAGTCACGAAGAAGCACGTTCTCATCATATTCCACAAGCAAATTAGAATTTGACAATTCGTGGACTAAACAATTATTTTTGCTACATAATTAGAATCATTTTGTAAATTGATCGCGATTCGTAGAACATATTATATATTACTTTGTAACAAAGGACCAATCACAGTAGAATTGTTATTATAAATTCTATTGAAAAACAAGTTAACTTCATGAACAAACAACGAGCAAAAAATCATTATTTAAGTGAATAAAGATACAAAAACTGTTGAGAAGAAATCACCAATTATTTGGACTTTTAGAGCACAGAGTATTGTTTCCGTCAGAGAAATAGAAACAGCGATTGAGAGGCAACCAGAATCCCTCTACGAGAAGGTCATAATTCAAAAGCAAAGAAGATGAATACGACTTGTCGATGTCTACAATGTTTTGGGAGGCGTTCTTTTTTCCTTTTAGGTTAATGAAAAGTCGACACAGTTTGAAGAATTAGATTAAAAACCTAAAAGCAACGTCGTTTAGAGAAGTTATTTTTAAAAAAAAAATTAGAAATTTAGGCGGACTAAACCGACTAATCCCGCCTAATCCCGCCTAACCGCCGCCAAACTCGCCTAACCAAACCGTCCGCCTATTAGAGCCGATTACAATGAAATCGGGACGGACAAGCACTGCCTAGCGCCTAGGCGCCGCCTAGGGCGATTTCTTGAACACTGTAATAATTGGTTAAGAAAAGAAAGAAAAAAAAAAAAAAAAGAACGTTATTAATTGGTTTAAAGTCCGGTATGTACGTTACGCAGTACCATCTCAATATATAACGAGATCTATGGCAAAACCAAAAAAAAATTAAAATCTCTTAGTAATATCTTTTTTAAAACATTTGGGCCTTTTTCTTTAAAAAAATTTTTGAAATTAATATTGGATCCTTGGCATTTGCCTACTTTGCCTAGGGGTAAAGACGGGCCTAACGTTACGTTGCACAAGACACCACATGCTTGGTCAGTTAGGTTTTTTTTTGTGTTCATCAAAAAAAGTTATATAATTTCTGAATATATTCTTTTCTTTTTAGGTATTTTATTAATTTAACAAAACAAAATGGTTTTAACCAAAAAACTTCCCAATGATTTAGATATCAACAATAGATCGTTGGCTTACATAAACGGAAATAACCATTCCGACTAAGGATGAACTGAAAAATAAATCCAGAAATTAGACGGGTTAGAGATATTAAACCGGAATTTTTTTATAATATATTAACAAATTACACCATTAAAATCATTTCATCAAGCACCTCTATGATTTTGTTTTATTTTAAATCAAACCATACCAAAAAATGTCAAAAAAGAAAGTACAAGACGTTACATTGTTAAAATATCTATATATACATTTTTGTAGAAGATTTGGGTCAAAAAAATCCTTTTACAATTTCTTATTTATACATTTAGTCCCTACAAAAATAATCTGATAAAAATATTGTCTTAAGCAAATTTTACAAATAAATCTTAATAGTAAATAACACTAATTAGTTATAGACTTATAGATGATTTACGGCAATATTTCCTAAAATTGTGATAACAAATTTGAGACATTAATGCTAATAGAAAATAATTAAATGAAAATCTTCAATAGGATCTTTCATTATTAATTGGCTTTATTCCTAAAAATATTTAAACAAAATTTAGTTATTGATTTGCAAATATAGAAATCGTATATGTAGTTATAACTTATAACAAACAAATATTTTCAAATCAAATGGTTTCCTATTTAAATGCTAGAAAAAAAACGTAATAAATTTTTAATGCCATATCTAAAAAAAATCAATAAATTGATATATTGTTCTAACAAATCAATATTTAATGCTAACAATAAATTAATTTGATACACGTTTTTTATTTAATGCTAATAAAAAGTAATTTGTTCTAACGTTTTTTAGTTATGGCATTAAAGATGTATTGCCAAAAATAAAATAAAATTTGAATGCAAACAATAAACATAAATGTAATCGATTTCTTTCCTATAAAAATGGTAATCTTTAGCATATTACTTTAAAGGATTTAATATATTACCAAGTAGATGATATGGATGTATTTGCCAATTGCAGGTACATCGTCGCTTACTAAATAGTAATCTCATTTTTTTATTATTATAAATATTCAAACATACAACATAATAATTGTACAATTAACACTATATAGATTTTCATATACATTCTAATCACACATGTAAATGGATTATATAAAGACTTATTATATTTAAAACCTATATTGATTGTTCTCAAACAAACATATATTATTTTTTTAAATAAAAATATAGTCCTGCGGTGTACCGCGGGTCAATCCCTAGTTATAAAGCATAAAAGAAATAATAAATAAAATATATCAAAAAAAAATATCAATTTTCAAATTTGGGACAAAAGAAACACACCTCCGAAATATCATATAAATTTTATATTTTAGTTCGACTTTTGATAAAATGATCAAGTTTTGTTGACTAGGCTATTTCGGGCATATTGTTAAGTTTCCGTTAACAAGACAATCACATGATTAACTTTTTGTTAGAAGTTTCCGTTGAATAAAAACGACGTCGTTTTATATCCTTTCATTAGAAAATAAATATATATATATATATATATTCATCCATGAAAAATCGAACTCCAGACCGTTCGCACTTAGAGACTCTCAACCGTTAAACTACGATAACATTTTGGTATTATAACAAACATAGCGTATATATATTTAGTTTGACTTTTCATTATCGTATATAAGAACGCATACTTAAAATCATTTTTTTTACCACGTTCTCTTACTAATCTTAAAATCATTTTTTTTACCACGTTCTCTCACTAATCTTAAAATCATTTCTTCTACGATTATTTCTCTCTCTGACTCTCTCTCTATACCCTCAAAAATGTTCAACAACCAAAAAATCGTCAAAAAAGGTTGAGAGCATCCGCTAATAAGGTTAAAATTCTAGCAATCAAATTATCTAGTACATGCAACAACTCATAGGTGGCAACCATTGCTATCACCTCCGACACTCCTCCGATCATCAAGGAATATGGTTCTCCAAAGTGATCGTGATCTATCTTTGTTTTGGTTATATATGTTTTTTTTTTTTGTACGTTGTAGTGTATCCTAGGTTTTTCACCGTTACAGTTATGTACCAAGGGACAACAATGTCAAACCCATGCAAATGAACGACAATGCTTTGGACAAGTTGATGCCGGAAGAAACTAAAGAGTTAAACTGTTCGATATTGAAAACCGCACAACGTAATTTGTTAACAACATTAGAGAAATTTAATATATCGGAAATGGCAAAATCAATAAAACTTAACTTGATTTTGCCAAAGAGGCCAGTTGATTGTTTTTGTTGGTACTTTAGACTTTTGGATATTATTCGAGATTAATTTTGTTTTTCTAAAAAGAAAAAAAAAACTTGACTATTTTATTAAAAAGTGAAACTAAAATTTAAAATTTAAATGATATTTCGAAATTTTATTATTTTTGTTCTAAATTTGAAAATTCACATTTTTTTTATATTTTTCATTAAAATAATAAAAAGAAACGTTACCGTACCATATCAAAAATCTTGAGAATGAGTGAACACAAAAAAAGCATGTAGAAATCTTGAGAATGAGTGAAAACAAAGAACATGTAGAATTTGTACAACACATCACGTGAGCACATCATAAAGCAAAATCAAGTACACAAACTTCCTACCATAAATTACGCTGGCCTACCATTCTTAAGTATCATTGCCATTTGCCAAATCTAATTGATTAGAGAACAAATGGAGAAGCTATGTACAATTCTGACTTTATTTAAATCTTACCGTAATTCCTGTATATATCTATCAATTTGTGGATTGCACGAAAATATGTACTTAATAGATAAATTTGTGTGTTTTCTTTTTAATGTTTACAATATAAAATTGAAAAAAATAAATTGTTGAGAATTTGAGATAAGGCATGTGGTTAAAGTATCAAAAGTTCTAATAATTAAAAATACAAAATTAATTAGGTGTACTTAAACAAGTTAAAAACTAAGAAATCATTTGAAATATGAAATTTTCGTCAACTTTAGCATTCAGTGGAGATTTTTATAGAAATGGGAAAACAAAAAAATAGTAAATTAAAGAATTGAGAGGCGATTCACTAATCCTGATGGATCCAAAAAATAATAAAAAAAATAACAAAAAATGTATAATTCTGATGGATCGAATTTTGTAATGTTTCCAATTAAAGAATTGAGAGGCGATTCTGGTGCGCATCGCTTTCACGTCTTCTCGTCTTCAAATAGCACCACGACGCTTAGAGCATCATTATCGCTGGGATCTTATAAAAATCTTAGCTAAATCTTAGAGCAAAATTAAATGAGATAGCATTGATAATTCTAAGGAACGTTCCTTAGGTAAGAGTTAATTTTAACTCTAAGAGGCGTCCACGTGTCGTTCAATGAATAGGTATTCAGATTTCAAGTGGAAAACACGGTCTCATTTTTTTCTATCTTTATTTTCCTCTCTCTCTCTTTCTCTCTCTCAAATCGCGCAACAGAGAGAATTCCATGGCGATTATTCAGAAAATCGACGAGATTTGGAGGAATCTCCGATGTTAGTGAACTCCGGCCGTCATTCTTCCGTTATCCCATCATATCCACCGACTCCGGTTGTCCACGGCGTATTCGGTGGTTGTATCCGGCGAGTTTGGGTTTAGAAATCGGGAGAAATTCACGAGATCTCCGAGTTTCGATTCGAAATCGGATTCTTATCTTCAGTTATGAATTAAATCAAGGTATGCATGTCTCGTTGCTTGTGTGAATTGATGTATTTTAGTATTTCAAATTAGGGTTCTTTGGATTTGTGAATTTAGGGGTGTGTCTCTTATTTGGCTAATTAGAAACATGATTGTGGGTGTGTTTGTCTTGTTTAAGTGTTTCAAATTAGGGTTCTTCGGATTTGTGACTTCAGGGTTTCGGGATTTGGTGAAAAAGGGATTTTTGGATTAACACTCTGTTGGGTCTTAATTGTATTCATGATGTTGATTAGTTTTGTTACAATTTGCATGATTGTTAGGTTTATTTGAGATTTTTAATAACAAATGTTAATCGGTTTTGTTCTTTATCTCTTGAATTTGATTTATTGTTAGGTTTTGTTTTGACTAATTCACAAAAGTTGTTTTTACATACTGATTTTTGATGATTACATTTCTATTTAGTACTTGCTGCCATAAACAATAGTAAGAACAGTTTTAAGTAAAAAGTACAGTACTTAAAGTCTCTCACATTGCGGTTTTTGTTTCTTGAATCAGTACTTGCTATGCAACACTATCTGCTGTGGTAAAGGAGCAAACATCCGCTTTTGATGGAAAAGAAGCAGCTTTGCTTGTTGATGAGCTCAGAAGCAACTTCAACACTGGCAGAACAAAGAGCTATTAGTGGAGATTCTCAGCTTCAAAGCATTGCTAGGATGATTGATGAGAAGGAGAAATGTATCACTGAAGCTTTGTATCAAGACCTCTCTCAAGGTACTTAATTATCTCAAACTACCATCTCTGGCTTTCTATTCTTTACCAATTAAAGCTCCATTATAGATGAAAAGGAACATGATCAAGACGAAAATAAAACCAAAGCCTTAAATGGTGATGGTTTGGTCTAGGGTAATCTAAACTTTGTGACTACTTTCTGGTTGTGATGTTTTGTGGAAGTTACTGAGCTCCATTTGTTTGTTATCTAGATATGTTAAGCTAGCTGATTTGTCAAAGGAGAAGAGATTGTCTTTTGTCAGAGCGTGGGAAGATAGCTCCCAGTCAAAAGCTAATGAGACTGCAACTGTTGGAGCTCAATTGACTCGGGGGAAGAAACATTTGTCAAACTCTCTCTTGAAAAGCTAAAGATTTAACACCTGTTTTTTGGATTCGAGGCTATGTTTGTTGCTTTTCTTTGTTCTCATACCTTTTTAAATGATGTAATAAATGTTTACCAATGTTCTTTTGCTACAAGTTCATTTTTTCATGACGTTTGTCAACTTTAACCTACTACTCACTCTTTTAATTTCAAAAGACGAATCACCTAAAACCATATCTTTGTTTTCTACACAAAACTAAAACACATAAACCAAAACTATATCTTTGTTTTTTCCACAAAACCAATACACATAAACCAAAACCATATCTATTTTTTCTCCACAAAACCAAAACACATAAACCAAAACACATAAATTT